CCAAATAACCGAAATAAATAAAAAATTAGATAGTCTACTAGAAACAAAAGTCCCTACTAAAGAAAATAAGCAAGAAAACGATATATAAGCTTAAATAGAACAGCTCAAAAGAACTAAAATCACACCTCAAAAGGATAGACTTACAAGAAAAGAAAAACCTTGGACATTTTTTCAAACAGGAATAGAAACTCCCAAGAAAGACAAAGGACCAGTTTCTCTCAAGATAGATTAGGTAATAATATGTTAGCTAGAATAATGAATAATTCATCTCGACCTAGTAGTAGTCATCAGTTGGATGAACTTATAGATGTAGATAGAGACATAGAAATATTCAAACAAAATAAATTAAAACTCCTAAATACACAAGTTCTTTATAATACCGATTTCTTTTCATCAACAACACATCTATACAGACATTATAGAGAAGAACAGTTAAGTGTATCCGAAAACGATAGTGAGAGTATAAATTTAATTAGTAAAGAATTTATGCAAGAAACACAGAAAAAAATACGTTTAAATATATAAAAAATAAGTAAAATACGTTTAAATATATAAAAAAAATACGTTTAAATATAAATCAGATTGTTTGTGAAATATAAGCCGCGTTTGTAAATATGTTGTAAAATCCTACTCAGTACTCCCTCTTCCTACTCAGTTATCCTGTTTAGTAGTAATTTGTTACTAAATCTATGTAATTTCTCCCAAAATTATCCTTTTTTTATTATTATTTTTTATTTTTACTTTGTTCATCTCTTTTCCTTAACTCATGTTCTTAGCATCTGCTTCTTTAACCACACCCTGGGATACACAGTCATTTCGGTTCATAACCATGGCGGACTTTCAACTTCCCTAAGCATTTACAGGTTAATCCATCGGGGTTACTAAGAAGATAAGGAACTAATCATTTACTAAGAGTAATTTAATCATTATATAAACATTTAGTAATATAAACATTATATTAGACATTCATAATAATAGAACAATAATAATATCTACGTGGGAGAAGATTTACAAAGATCTAGAAAACTAATAACTACTTACATGATAATGGCCGGAATGAGGTTTCCCTTTCGGGAGTCCCCGGGTGACCTTGCCGCTACTTGAAAACTAAAACACTCACACACTTTGTACACAAATACTTACTCACTCTTTTTTTTTTTTTTTGAAAGGGAAGGGGAATATGTAAACTATGTAAACTATAAAATGCTTACAATCTTACAAAACTTCTTTTCTCAATGCTCTTCTTGTACTTCATACTCTACCTTCTTCTTTGTGAATGGTTCTATTTATAGGGGTGAATCCGGACTTGAAGTTCGGATTTCAAATTCTAAAAAACTTTCTTCACCTGCCGGGTGCTCTTTGGACCCCATCGTCACATGGCTTTGTGAAACTTTTTCAAATTTGAATGGATCCTTTTGTTGTCTTGTGATAGTGGAGTCCGTAGTGGATATGTAGTGGAGTCTTGAATAGACCTTCTTTGTCGTCTTGTTAGTAGTGGACATGTAGTGGAGTCTCCTTTATCATAATGGCTTGTGATGTCACTGCTTACCTATTTGTTTGTCTTCTTGTGTTGATGTCATTGCTTACGTATTTCTCTAGGTATCCAAGTTGTGTAGTGCGTCGGAATCAAAACTCATCCCTGAATCAGTCTTCATTTGGGTCGTAGTGCTGATTAAATTGGTCTATCGATAGATCATTTTCATCACTGCTACTTTCTTCGTGGTCTGAATTTGTTGCATCTGGCTCTGGATTTTCTCGTATAATTTTTTCCTGTATTACCTCCATAGTCTTTTCTGTGAGTAACTTGTAAAGGAAGCTTTTTATTATTTTTCTATCATTTTTTTTTCTTTTTTGGAGGAATCCCTTTGTCCTTTTGCTTGTTTCTGTTATTGTATTAAAACTTGCTGGTAGAATTCTTACACTTTTTGGTAAAGTGTCAACCATCAACGGATTTGATGAGTCTTTACCCGCTACACTTACTGGTATCAGAGCTATTAAGGTTTTGAGTACACATTGTATTAAGAATACAACTTATTTCAAGTTAATAGATATAGTATTTTATAATATATGAAAAAACACCATTTTGCCAATCAATTAAGGTTAAATTATTGATACTTATATAGAGAATTACAGACTAAATCTGAGTTGCTAAAAATAAAAGAGGTTTTAACCCTATATCTAGAAGTACTAGAAACAAGAGACTTAACAGACAGACTTTGTAGAAATGGGGGTCTATATTCATCTAATCGACCAACCTTAGTCAACCCAGAGCTATTAAGTGCATTAAAGTGTGAAGTACATAGCATAGAAAGTAACATCCAACACGCAAATAGACGCATAGGAGTCCAAAGGAACTATATTAGTAAATTAGTATTACCTTTAGGATAAGCAACATAGAACTCACCCTAAATACAAGTAATAATATATATGTCATCTAGAATATATAAGAAAAGATCTAGAATCTTTTATTTTTAGCAACTCAGATTTAGTCTGTAATTCTCTATATAAGTACCAATAATTTAACCTTAATTGATTGGCAAAAGGGTGTTTTTTCATATATTATAAAATATTATATCTATTAACTTGAAATAAGTTGTATTCTTAATACAATGTGTACCCAAAACCTTAATAGCTCTGATACCAGTAAGTGTAGCGGATAAAGACTCATCAAATCCGTTGATGGTTGACACTTTACCAAAAAGTGTAAGAATTCTACCAGCAAGTTTTAATACAATAACAGAAACAAGCAAAAGGACAAAGGGATTCCTCCAAAAAAGAAAAAAAAATGATAGAAAAATAATAAAAAGCTTCCTTTACAAGTTACTCACAGAAAAGACTATGGAGGTAATACAGGAAAAAATTATACGAGAAAATCCAAAGCCAGATGCAACAAATTCAGACCACGAAGAAAGTAGCAGTGATGAAAATGATCTATCGATAGACCAATTTAATCAGCACTACGACCCAAATGAAGACAATTGGCTCAAAGAAGTCCTCTCATCCTGAGGTGAGGGTGGGATGCCTATCGAAATCAGAAAAGATGGAAAAGGCTATCTACGTCCAATTCAAAGTTTCTTGCATTTTCCGATGTAGTTGGCGACATGATTCTGACACACTACACAACTTGGATACCTAGAGAAATACGTAAGCAATGACATCAACACAAGAAGACAAACAAATAGGTAAGCAGTGACATCACAAGCCATTATGATAAAGGAGACTCCACTACATGTCCACTACTAACAAGACGACAAAGAAGGTCTATTCAAGACTCCACTACATATCCACTACGGACTCCACTATCACAAGACAACAAAAGGATCCATTCAAATTTGAAAAAGTTTCACAAAGCCATGTGACGATGGGGTCCAAAGAGCACCCGGCAGGTGAAGAAAGTTTTTTAGAATTTGAAATCCGAACTTCAAGTCCGGATTCACCCCTATAAATAGAACCATTCACAAAGAAGAAGGTAGAGTATGAAGTACAAGAAGAGCATTGAGAAAAGAAGTTTTGTAAGATTGTAAGCATTTTATAGTTTACATAGTTTACATATTCCCCTTCCCTTTCAAAAAAAAAAAAAAAGAGTGAGTAAGTATTTGTGTACAAAGTGTGTGAGTGTTTTAGTTTTCAAGTAGCGGCAAGGTCACCCGGGGACTCCCGAAAGGGAAACCTCATTCCGGCCATTATCATGTAAGTAGTTATTAGTTTTCTAGATCTTTGTAAATCTTCTCCCATGTAGATATTATTATTGTACTATTATTATGAATGTCTAATATAATGTTTATATTACTAAATGTTTATATGACAGTAAGAAAAGGGTAAGGACAAAAAATATTAATTTAAAAGATTGAGAATTATTTTTTCTTGGCAACTTCTTAAATAGTTCCAGATCACATCACAAATATAAATTTAAAAAAATAATAATATGAATAAAAAATAACTTGTTTAATTTAGGAAAAAGTATAAATATATTTCAAATCTAAGTAAAGTGGTTATACAAAATAACTCAATGTAATACCATAAATTAATTAGAATATACACTATGGATTGAAATTAAATTTAGATTGTTAGATATTATCACTATTGTGGATTAATTAATATATATATATATATATATATATATATAGTTAACGAGAAAGGAGATGTCAACAATACAGACCATAGTTTTAATAGCTAACGAGAAAGGAGTGGTCAACAATATAGACTCATGCAGTCTTAAAACAATGCTAATCTCTGATATCGTTATTAGTATAATTTCTTCGTGGTCTTGTCTATTGATAATTAATAATTAAGCAAACAAATAATTAACTAACACGTCATTAGTCAGAAATTGCAATTCACACTAACGACATAATTGTTGACAAGTTATATTGAAAAAAAAAAATAACATTTTGATTAAAATCGACTCTATAAATTAAGTGAAGAGGTTGTAATACTTCTATGAGTGAGGACAATTCAATGTAATATTTGAAATCAACATAAATTATACGGTATACGTCAAAATTAAACTTCAAGGATTTAAAAAGAAAACTCTAAAAATTAAAAAGTTAAATGTCATTAGTACTCTTCTTTTTAACAAAATTATCCAAACTTGACGTGCTAATAGTTGTGATTAGTCTCCTCTTGAAAAACTAAAATCCCTATTTATCATTGAAATTATCCCAACAAAAAAATTCATCTTGAGTTAACTTCACTAGAATTTTGAATATTGTGTCTGAATACATTTCATTCAAAGTTTATAGCAATAACAATATACACAGACCTAATTTTTACTTCAAATTTAAAATATCTTATTAAAATTTAGTGAAAAAAGATGCACAATAAAGTTTCTTGTTGTTCATTTTGTAATATGGAGAAAATCAGATATGACATATATATACTAATCAAAAGAAACTTTCATTCATTGTTGTATATTTAAGTACAGATTAGTTATGATGATATTTTTTAGGTTTATCTACACTAGATAGCAATAATACATAAAAATAAAAATAAAACTACAACTATACAAGTTTATAGAGAAGATAATGAATGATCCAGGGTTTGAAGTTTATTAATTTTAATAAAACATAACCTTTTTTTTCTTATCGAGGTTCTCGATAGATTATTTATACATATCAAGTGAATTTCTCCGCCCTTGTGGCTCTAAGCACGCCTGTATTCATCCCCGCAGTCGCCAATAACTTTTTGAAGATCTCTGCCCTTGTTTGTAACTTGTAGGATGTTGCTAATGTCTTCTTCATCAAGAACAAGAGAAAACACAGCATTGGCATCTTTAATATGTTGTGACAGACCAAGCCTAACACCTATCATTGATCCTGCCACGGCTGGCTGCAGTTGTGCAACAGTTTTTGTCAAAATGAAACAGATTGACATGAATCTTTTTCGAGTTTAAGTTATATACACCGTTAGTGTATCAGGTCATCCTAGTTTGTCTTATTCTCGAGATAAAAGATTCCACATTTAGAGTAAAAGATACTTTGCATTGACGGTGTATATAACTTAAACTAATTGTTCTCTTTCGGTACGCGAGAAAATGATGAAAACTGGAAAATACCTGATCCAGTATAAATCTCACAGCAACTGTTGGAATGGAGACTCCATGTTTGTTGGAAACAGTTTTCAGTGTCCTGAGCAACTCTTGAAAGAGGCTCCACCCTCCCCAAGCATCAATCATCTGCAATTGTTTTTTGAAACACAGTAAATTTGTTGATCCAAATACCTCATATAATACAATACGGAACTATATCTTGCTGTAAAAAAAGAGCACATTTCTAATGCCAACAAAACACGAGGGCACATAATACAGTTTGTTAAGCTCCGGTTCCCCAAATATAGGTGGATCTAGGATTTGAAGGTTATTAGTTATGAAGTTTCTATGTTGGCATAACACATTCAAACATTTTTTCCAGGGTAATTACCCTTTTGTACTTCTGTAGTGAAGGAGTGTTCAATGCAGGGCCAGCAAAAGGTATCGTTAAGTTGGTATCGAGGAACTTTTCAGATAATAACCCTCCCATTACTGTTCCATACCTGCATTCAAACAAAATTTAGTAATACATCAGAGTCACGTTATTAGACAATCACATTAACCGATTAAATAAATCATATCGTTCTAACAAGTTGAGAGAGAGAGAGACGTTATAAGTTTGACTCCTGTAAGCTGACAAAGCTCTGCCATTTTCTGTTGAGGACGCATGTCAACAATTGAATGTTGTACCTGCAGAAACAAATCCTTTTACTTCAAAGCTGAAAATACGAAGTAAAGAGCAGAACAATGCGAACTGCCTAGAACTCGATACCTGATTGCTAACAACCGGAATCCCATTTTCCAGAATTATCCTTAATCTCTCAGTGTCAAAATTAGTCAGAGCAATGGTCTTAATCTTGCCTGCATGTAAGATGTGTCACTATGTAGCCTATCGACAACTCTGAGATGAAAGCTCCAAGACAGAAATATACAACTAACCTTCTCCTTTGAGATCCGTGAGGTGCTTTAGTGCGTCTAAGTATCCAGGATTAGAGTAGTCCCACCTGGTTTTCAAGCAGAACAACAAAGAGTAAGAGAAACTAACAGTTTTGATTCCGAATTATTTCAGTTGATGACCGTAAAGACTATGATGCAGCCTGGATTAGTGCAATAAATAAAAGAATTCTTCTCGGATCCCAAGGGCCAAAATTTGTCTGATATGACTTGTGAGACAGTTCAACTTGAAGTTCATAAAGGTAAAGATCGTGATATACTACATATTTAGGAAGTGGAACTTAACATGTTGAAGCAATTTTGTCCACTTAAAGGATAACATTTCAGAAGGAAACATGAAAACTCATTTCTCAAGATATTGCTCAAATGCTTCATCTCAGAAGATCGAAAACCTCAAGGAAACGAAATTTCATTACAAAATAATTTTGTATTGTACTCCGGTAAGAGTAGAACAAGATAAGTTTTTCTTGACCTACTGTCTTGTGCAACTTACAGTAAGCTCTTTTTGTGCTAAACCACTTTAAATCCCAAGATGATAAGAAGAGCTGTAACTACTTGGTGTTATTTCATATCTAAACATCAGATGAACCGTCTATTATTAATTTATCACTGCCATTTCCTAACACGTGAACAATGACATATTAGCAAAGACTAGAGAAGGTTATTACCAATGAAATTGAAGCATGTCCAAGGCTGCAACATCCATCCTTCTTCTTGAAACATCAATGCTCTCACTGACAAAACTGCGGGTCATCTTGACCGGTGGTGGCACCCATTTGGTAAGACTGGAGGTAAATCAGAAGAATAACTTTACGGGTTGAATTCCTCCCTCAAGCTCAACACAGAAAATTCTAATGCCTTTGTTACTCACCCTCTCACAGTTTCTAGAAGTTCTGGTGGGCGCTCTCTACGTACTCTGTTAATGAAGATGCCATAAAGATCTTCCGCAGGTCCATCTGCAAGGCCAACAATGATAAGAAAATTTTTTTACTTACAAGCATCAAGTCTTTGTTATCCAACTCAAACACTTCTCTAATCCTACAAAATATGTTCCGTTAGCATGTATCAACAAAATTAGATCGATTAATACAATACAAGTCACGCGCCACAGAGAAAACATTCCACCAGCATGAAATTATGACTTAAGCAATGTAAGCATAGGAGCAACAATAAACAAGAAGATTAATTTTTACATATATCAGCCAAGTCAAAAGTGTTAAGTCCAGCATCAGCATATTGAAGCATAGCATTAACTGCAGTGTCTCGTTCAATTCTTCCCCATCCACCACTAGTCTGCCACGTCCCATTGACAACTCTACATATATCCAGTGAATCTTTCCCATTCTTAACTATAGCCCGTTGCTTATCTTCAGTTAACAAGCACTGGAATGGCCTTGGCATTAATGTCCTTGCTTCATTTGCTCTAAAAGACTTAATCTTGATAGAGTTCAACGAGAACTGACGAAAACTGTTGTTCAAGAGCTCTACCATTCTTGATCAATAAAATAGTTTAAAGGGTAGTTGAAGAACCATCCCACTTTACCTAGAATGACAACCAAAATATGACTAGTCACTAGTTCATTTGAAATAAGGCTTCTCTTATCTGGTTTTGATCTTTTAGCTCCTTATCCATTGTCTGTCCAGAAATATTTGGACAACATTTCCAAATTCTCTCTCCTTTTTAAAAAAGGAAAATTAACTTAAATAGTCACGCACCCAAAAAAAAATAGCCGAGAAATGTATAATATATGTATACTAGCTAGCATTTTGTTAGTAATATTTTAGGCTGAGTGGTCAAATGTGTAACTTCACCTAACATATATCCTTGTCAAAATGAACGTTGTTGGCATGAGAGGACCATAAGTGCAAATACAACATCTGTGGTAAGAAATTGAAAATTCTCAAAAGAAAAAGGGGTTAATAGGGAAAATCCAAAAAATAACAGATATGCAGACGTGTCCAAACATAACACACAAGAACATCTAACACAAACTGTGACAATAACATGCAACGTATGACCAACATGGGTTGTGGTGCACTGGTGGATTGTTTCACCCTTAACCAAAGGTCTTGAGTTCAAGACTTGGGTACAGAGAAAATCATGTTGGGAGTGCCACCCCCGAATGAGCCCTGCAGAGCGCAATCCGAATTTAGTCGGAGCTCCAATGTGGGCTCCAAACACCGGGTGGAAAATCAAAAAAAAAAAACGCAACGTATGAGGTTAACAAACCACAATCACTACTTGCCATACGTATAAAATAGCGGAATCAAATTTTCATTAATTTTTCTTTCAAAATATAAAAAGTAGGCAAAATAAAATTCAAAATTCATTATACACAAGAATAGATACTCATACTTCCTCCATTTCAATTTATTTTAACTTGACACGAATTTTACAAAGCAAAGAAAGAATTTTGAAGTGTACAATCTTAAACTAAAAATATGTTAATGGTTCGTAATCATAATCATATAAAATGAAAAATTAAAACCACATAATTAGTTAAAAAAATATAAACTAATTCATACAGTGGTCAGCCATGTCGAAAGTAGAAAGCCCAGCGTCTGCATAATTAAGCATAGCTTCAACGGCGTCGTTTCGATCGATTCTTCCCCATCCACCACTAGTTTGCCACATCCCGTTCAATACTCTGCATATTTCCAGATTATCGTCGCCGTTCTTCAGCAATTCCCGCCGGTTTTCTTTCGCCGCCGTCGCTACCTCCGCCGCCGGCGACGGCGAGCAACACCTAATCGGAACCGCACATTTTCTCCTACTCCTTATACTTCTACAGCTGCTAGCGTAGCTTAAAGGGGTGAATTTTTGGAGATTGCAGAATGCTTGTTGTGTATAAATGGCAGTCGACCCCATTTTTGCTCTCCGATTCGAGTTTCGACTAGCTTTGAATTGAACCTTTCGTTTTCAGGTGAAGGTTCTGGATGTATACTTGTGTAATGACGATTATGACCCTACTATATGTTCAAAAGTCGAGTTAAAAACGTCAAAAATATATTTAAACTATATCTTTTTATTGAGTTTCGTACTTGAATATTATTGAGAGCGTGAGTTTATTACTGATTATAATCCAAAAGTTAGCGAAACACATCTTGATTAACTTCGGATCGGATGATTTTTTTATACTCATTTTCTTGCTTAAAAATTCTGCTACATGGAAAAATAATTCCATTTCCCAAAAATATTAGATTAAAAGTTAAGGTTAAAGATTAAAATTATTATTGTGTAAATTATTTTATTTCAATCATGACATTCATAATCTTCTTCTTCATTTTCTTACTAGTGCTCTCGTCTCTGTCATGACATCAATATTTTCGATGGAGAGTATAGAATTTTAAAAAATTAGTATGTCAGCAAATAGAGCGTATGTCAGGTGGACGAAAATTTTACAAACAAATGCGTCTAGAAGTATTTTTAGACAAAATTTTGATCTAGTGAATGTGTAGGTGTGTTTTGCTAAGCATTAACTGATGATAGTTTAGGTAGGAAACTCAATAAAGTGAAATAGTTTAGACGTGTTTTCGACCCTTATCTTTAAAAAGTATGATACATAAATGTGTTTAATTTAGTTTTACTTGACATTTATGCTCTTCAAATTTGATTATGCTCACATAGACATTTAAATTTGGTATATAGTTGAGCAAATAGACATAGTGTCTTACATGACAATTCACGTGGAAATTGAAATACACTCAAACTATTTGTGTTGCGTAATGTACAATGTGTGTGTCTACTTATTCAACTTCATACAAATTTAAATGTTTAATTGTATAAATTCAAAGTTTAAGGACATCAATACCAACTGAGACCAAATGAAAGGATACATTTATACTGATCGAGGCCAAATGAAAATGAAATGAAATATTTATATTTTATTCCATTTTATTTGATATATACTTGAACAACATAACTAGTTTTTATCCTACATTTTATACTTTTGATAGCTGGTTAAAGGTTTAAATTATTTATCTATTAAATCTTACATAAATAATCATGTCTGATAATATGCTCTTATTATGAATACAATTTAATATATTTAATTAAGTGTTTGACTTGTAATTTAGAAATTATATAATTAATACATATATTAATTATAAGATAACCTATAAATTATTTTATACATGATAAAAAATAATGAAAATTACAAGAATATAGTATTTACTACTTTATTAATAATATATGTATATATTCCTTTTTAATTACAAAACTAGTTTTTTAATTACGAACATAACCAAAAAAAATGAAATTTATTTATATATTATTTAGCAGTATATTCTTCCCTATTTTTGGGGATAATGGGTGGATTTAATGAAAGTGATAATTATGGTATTATTTCTCGTCTTTCCAACCATAATTGTAGTCATATAGTTACCTATTTTATATATATAAAAATATATTAATTTTCTCACTTCTTTAGTATTTTTTCTATCTATGTAAAAGATAGTTCTCTCTTTCCTTTTGACTATGCAAATTCGATTTCACCTTTCTTAAAATTGCTTCTTTCTATGTAAAAATATTCAGTAATTTAACTATACCAACACATATACTACAAACACATACACATACACCAAATAATTTAACTATACCAACACATATACCACAAATTAATATAATATATATCTTTAATTACAATAAACATATATGAGAAACCACTATAATATTTAATTTTCACTAAAAAGATCATTTGTATTATAAAGAAAAACAATTTTTTGACTAGATAGAATATATACGTAATAGATAATCATTTTTTGTCTATTTAGATTTTACAAAATCATTTATAAATTTAGTGTATAATTACATATAGTTATCACTTGTGTATCACATACTACAAGTGATTTTAGACCTCTTGAATTTCACTTCATTAAATTTCTTCTTATTATCATTATTTGATAGTCGTTTTGCATCTGGTATTAACACCATCTAGTTCTGTTCACACCTAATTGAAAAGCAATAGCATTGATTAAGCCTTTGTATTTTGTGTTCGCATCATATATCACTTTTTCAATCTTCAAATTCATAACAGAGGCACTACATAGTAAATGATTATATAGCTTTTCCAAAACACAAGGTAACTATACATAACAACTTTCTTCAACCAATTGTGAAAAAATGGGAAGAAGATATTAGAGGAAACTCTTGAGAAGAAGGAAATGGAGAACCTCTTCAATGAACTTTTCAAAGGGAAACAAACTCTTCAATGAAAGTAAATGTTGGGGAAATAAAGGGTTTGTTAAAGTTAATTGATGTTAAGAGGGTTCAACTTGAACAAAGGAAGATACAAGTTAATGAGGTTGTTGCTAATAACAATGTTGGAGAAGAAAATAATGTTGGACATCCTTAGAATGTTGATTGTGCATTTAATGCTTTTTATTTTTCTCATCACTTATTTTGTCTTCTTGTCTTTTAATTACATTTTATAGTTACATGTTTGTTGCTCATTGTTCATCTTTTCATGTTATTGTCGTTATTTTAGTGATATATAAACGATATTTTATTAAAATCTAGTTGAATTACTACCAAAAAATCTTAAATTGTTTTACATTTCCTTTTGAATGGGTGTAACTTTTGAAATTTGCTATTTTTTTATTATTAAGTTACAATTATATATACACTAGTTCTGGGAACGTGAGTTTCATGTTTATCCCAAAATATTTCATGTAAATTTTGTATTGCAAATGACATATTTTATCCTCTTCAAATCTATTGGTATTTACTAAAAAAATCACCTTTTTTACGATAGAAAATACATCTTCCTAATAAAAAGAGTAGATTCTTAATTATAAAATTGATTAAAAGCGCATAAAGTAAAAATAACAAGTTATTGTGAAAATACAATATTCAAATGAGGATACTAAAATACCACATGCTAGGCTAATGTATATAAAGCAACAAACCACTGTAAATTCTCAATAATAACAACAAAACAATAGAAAGTTGTACAACAACAACAAATAAGAAACATAAACACTAAACAAAACAAATAAAAAGGGACAAGCTAAGAGAAGAGAGCTTAGAAAATTTTATATTAAATAAAAAAATTTGAAAAAATTAATATATAATTTTATATTAAATTAAAAAAATTGAAAAAATAAAATCTTATATCACATGAAAATTATATAAAGTAAGTATTTGGGAAAAAGAAAGAAAGGATTTATATTATGAAATAAGAAAATAAGAATGAAATAGAAATAATAATATAATATTAAGGAGAGAGAGAAAAAAATCGTTTTTAAAGAGTAAAATAGAGAATTGGATTGGAGTTGATTATCTGAAAAAATATAAAATTTTATATTTGGAGAGTAAAATAGAGTTCAAGGTTGGAGATGCCCTAAGTGTGTATAATAGTATGTCAAATATCATTATTTATAGAATACGATTGAGGAACACAAAAAGTTGTCATGAATATGACATTAATCCATTTGAGATCATAAATGAGAATGAGAGATGCGACTAAAAACCACAATGAATATAATTAGTGGGAGTTACATATATTCATATAATGGAGAGTTAGTAGTAATAAAATTTATGGTAATATACTTCACACATTAATACAAATATTTATATATGTAAAAAGAATATAATATAAGCTTGTATGATTTTTTTCTTTTTGTGAAAGGACAAACATAACCCATTCATATTTTCGATTAGACTATGAACAAAAAAAAAATCATTAATTTACTCCAACATGAAATTAATACAAAGAATATATATTCAAGATATTTTATGATGGTTAATTCATGTACTAATATAATGATTTACTATTTAATATTTAATTTATTAAATAATTTATAACATTTAAATTTAATATAAGAATAAAATCGTAATTTAACTTTTGCCTAAAATTCTCACTTTTAATATAATATGATATACTGAAGAAAAAAAGAGAGTATAATATGATATGATTTATTATCCATGCAAAATACAATATAGAGTTAATGCGAGTTTTGAAATGTTATTGATCGTAAATTATTGAATATCTAATCTAACAAGAAGCACTATTAATGCTATTGATCTAAGTAATTTATTAAGTAGTTAATAAAATATCATTTCCTTAATTTAAATCTTAGTTTAATATATTGACAAATGCACATGCTTAGTTAGACATTTCTATCTATAGATTAAAAATCGAAATCCTTAACTTAAAAAATAAATTATTTAAATATCTTCCTTTTTAATTAACTTATATTCCTTATTTAATTTGATTTAAGAAAAAACCTTCATCCAACAAAAGATAATGTTTCTTGATTTGTGCATAACAAAAGGTTGTTTCTATGATATACTAAAATTCAATTTGTTTAATTATGGTTTAAGATTTAATTTTCTTTGTTCGATCCTTCAGGATGACCCAGTGATTTAGGCTTAGGACTTCCATGTTGAAGGTCTCAAGTGCAAAATCCCTTGCCAGCAAAAGCAAGGAATTTGTCTTCTGGGTCGAGCCCGTTGCACTGGGCTTGTCTAGTGCGGTCTATCTCTCCTATGTGGTTTGCGAGCTATCTCATAGGAGTGGGGTTTTACCCTGTGCGCACCCAAATGGTAGCGGTTGCCTGATTTTCCTTATCATAAAAAAAAATTTTTGTTCATCTTTTCAAAATTGATTTTAAGTACCTAATAATTTATTAATATTGTTATCTATATAACATACCAGTTTTTTACTTTTTATTTTTAAGAAAAAAACTTTTTAAAAATATTTTAACACACTTTGACTTTTTTAGTAAGGAAACAAATTATCCAGAATTAGTTATTCCCAAATTATTATCTCCCCTCAATATAGCATAAAAATAACACTACAATTCAAGATAATTAAACCCAAAATAAAAAACGAAACAAATAGCATTCTAAAACTATTGAGGAGACTAATTATCTGTTATCCCTCACCAAACTCGAGGTTTAGCATATTCCCTATATTTTCATCAATTTGGTTGTGTTTTTTTTTTTTTTTTTGGCATTTTTCTTTCGATTCCGAAATCTGGTAATTTATTTTTTCTCTTCTCACCCTTTTGAGTTTCTTGCTTAATGAAGTACTTAGACATGATAGAGTAATTAATCTTGAACTGAATGCAGAATTTTTATAGCTTAAAAGTGTATTGACAGAGCTTGTTAACACTAAATTCCATGTATTGGGGTGGTAGTTTAGCTTCTTGAATGCACAATGCTTAGGATGACTTGATGCCCACATAGTGTTTGACAATATGCTTCACTGAATAAATTACTTATTGACATCTTTATCGAAAACAATCTCTTTACCCCCTTCACTTTGGATGTCGCACCCATGTTGAATTCTCCAAAAATACACTACTTTTGGAGAATTCGACACGGACCCAGTGGCATTTTTTAAGAGTTCGAGCAACATAAAGGTAGGGGTAAGGTTTGTATACAACAGAACCAACTTGTGGGATTGCATTGGATATGTTGTTGTTGATATCTGTGTGGGAGTTATCTAAAGTTTGAAAATGGTGTGAAATGTTTTTCATTTCAGTTGCTTATCTGTATGATAATGTTTTGATTGATTTGGATTGTGATTAATCTCTTTGTTGCTTGCTGGTTCCTTAACTCTATAAATTTAGAATGCTATAATTTTTGTTTGGATGAGAATGAGCTGTGGGAATTGAAGTTTGTTCGAATTTGCAGATAATGGTACTAAATAGGAGATTATACTTGCACGATGGAAAAATAAAAGATCTTTCTCTTCTACTCTCATAACTTTCTTTTGGTTTGTTTTGTAGCAAAGTGCAGCATTCTGTTGCAAAACCTTTTTTTTTTTCGCCAAACACAAGAAATACAGTCGTCCACGTACCAAAGTACCCTGTGCATCTGTATTGACTTGGGATCTTGGAGAAACTCATTGAGGGTCTGTGAAAAATCACTTCTTTGGTGCGTAGAATTGAACATCTGCTGGGTCATAGCAAAAGGAGGACACCATGGATGGTAACTCAAAACTCTTTGCATATTATTTCTCTCTTCAACAAATTTTTTTTAATTTTCCCCTTTCCCCAAGCTTTCATTTTGATTTTCTTGAGCCGAAAGAATGTATATTATTCAGTAAATTAGAAATGTTTTCTTGAGCCGAAAGAATGTATATTATTCAGTAAATTAGAAATGTTACCATGGTTTTCTTGTGTCAATTGTCATAGGCAGATTATTCATGTGTTAAGAAATATTGGCTGAAATGGTATTATGGAAACTCATTCTTGCATTCAGTTGTGTAATATTGTGCATGTCATTTGTACTAACATGAATTTATACAAAGTATTTGCTTGCTTAAAAACAATGTATTTAATAACACACTTCAGGCAGGCTTAAGCCCTGGAGTTTGGTGCAACACGTTGAGATATAATATAATTAAGTAATTAAAAGTTATATTCTCTCTAACAATGGCTCTAAGCTTTTAGATAGAGATGGCCACACACTTCTTCACGGTATGCACCTCTACATGGTATGAGATGATCATATAGATTACACAACATAAGTTGGTGCTTGACCTCAACTAATCTTTGGTTCAAGAACCAAGGCATTAAGCATGCGCCGCAATGCAAGGGGCTATGTTTTAAAGAGGGAAGCACTAAAGATAACTATAACGTGAAAAATAAAAAAATAATTGTTAATGATTTAGTGTGTATGAAGGTACTGGGATTAGGGTCTGAGCTATAGGAAATTAGAGATTTATAATAACAAAATTACAAAACTACATACTAGTGTTAATTAGAAGTAAGATTTTGTCTTTGTAGTTGGGTTCACAATTTAAAATGGTGTTTGAATTTAATTGGCACTATTTTTACTTCACATTTCACTTAATTACAAATATGTTAATTTCTTTGTCCATATATTATTTTTTTTGCATTACATACAGTTTTAAAATCTTAGCATTTTTTTCTTTTTTTGCCTTTGAAAATACCGTTTGAACGAAAGAAAAGAACAGACATATAAAAGGACCTTTTTAGAGACTTCAGCCTCAGCTTCTGAGACTCAACATTACTTGTTCTTTTGCATTTGGTTAATTATATTGTGAAAGAGGCAGTGCAAAGGATTCAACAGTTTGACTTATGCTTGATATTTTGTTGTATTGTCTTTTAGTTGATTCACAGCAGACTATGGAGGAAACCATCCTGGTGGGTGATGATCTGATGATGGGCCCTCCATCACCAGTCATTCCACCTGAGATAGCGTCTCATGTACTTGAAGGTGTTGATCTCTGTGACGGAATCTTGAGGAATCTGTTCCTCTGTATGTCTTCTTTTCCTCGATGATCCTTCTCTGACTCATGTGGTTTAAAATACTCATCAAGTCAAGGTTTTTCTGATTTAGGCTTACAAATCAATGATATCGAGCCATTCTGTCAGGATGAGATTGCTTTATATCGGCAATGTGCAGAGAGAAGGGTGAGAATGATAACAAAGGAGTTAATCTTTTAAAATGTTTGCTCATATAAAGTTGATTTTCATGTATTTTAAATGAGATTTTGGTTGCTTGAAGAAATAAATTTATGTTGTTTAGAGATTCTTATGCTAGTAGGAAATATAGAAAATTTCTATTACATCTTTTTTTTCTTTTATATAATGTTTGCTTTCGATGAATTTAAAATGGGAACATGCTCAGTGAGTATTCATATAGCTGACTTCAATTTTCTTGGGATTGAAGCATAGCTGTTGTTAATCTGAAGTTGTCATCTGTAGGATAAGGAGCTCAGGCAACGCCTTCAAGATAGTGAACAGAAATTAGGGATGTCAATGCCTCTTGATCAAGCAAAGGAAAGAGCCACTCAACTAGAATCAGAAGTCACATCACTGGAGAGGTTTGTTAGAGTAAAATTTAGTAATGATATTACTGATTCTGTCTTTTCCTTGACAATGACTCATTAAGTATTTAGTCAGCTGAAACTTACAGGCTATCTCTGAGCATTGACGCAGCTCATATGCATGAAACTGCCATTATCACGTGTGCAGTTATTTGTAGTAGTTGCTTTCTAGTGAAACAAAAATAACCCACTTTACTTAATCATTGTGTTTGAAACGGCCTCTCTACCTGTCCAGGTAAGGGTAAGGTTTGCGTACACACTACCCAGTGTAATCCCACAAGCGGGGATTGGGGAGGGTAGATTTTATCAAAAAAGCATACAATATTGGAACTCTCATCCGTGGATACATAACTGCTCCTATTTAACATTTTTGTCAGATTTGACAATTTGATGGTATCATTTGACCTTAAAGGTAGTTGGTAATCCCACGTTCAGCAAAAGAAATTTCTAATGTCTGATGAGTCGACCAATTCCTCTACCCCGCTGCTGCCCCTTCTCTGTTTACAGCATCTATGTAGTAATATACAATAAGTATGTTTTCTAAATACCTTCCTTTTGTTCTAGGCACTTAATTTTGGCTAGCGGAGTTGAAGGTATGGAAGGTTTTCGGCAACGATGGAGTCTACATGGTCGCGTAACTGATATCAAGTATGATAACTGATTCTTCTGTTATTTTCCTGGGCCCTAACTTTGTTATGGTACTCTTGGTTCTAGCATAATATTTATTTAGATAATGTGAATCTGTAAATACTGTTCTATTTTCTTAAAGTAACTCTAAGCATGCTATTACTTGCGCTATATAACTATAATGGAGTAGAACCATAAATTTGGCAGTAGTATGCATTCAATTTAGTGGATCATTTGTTTGTGTACTTTGCATGTGGTACAGTCAGTCATGTCAAATGGTTAGACATTCTATCTCAATTTTCCAGTCAGAATCCTATATGCGATGGATTATTTTGAGGATCGTAGTATTCCTTAAACCATGGTAGTGTATCTTATCTTGCCAATTGAAGGTGCAGCTATAACTTTGATTAACAATATATTATGCATAAGCTGAATTTGGTTTGTAAGAGATGAATCTAACTTAAACTTGAACCTAGGTTGTTGAACAAAATCAAAGCTGGAGTATTTGCAATCCAGTTCTTGAGGTTTATGGTGTCCACTGTTCTTAAATCAATGACATGTCTTTTTTTATTATTATTCAATTAAAAGTGAAATTTTAGGAGAGAACTATCTGAAAGACCATTGTTGACAACAAAGCTATATACGCAAACAGTCCTTCTATTGATAACTATGCATATCCTACTTCCTTGTGTCGAAGATTTTGTTTGAATTTAATCCATATGCAGGAGAAGGCTGGAGGCTCTGAAGGGGGGAATGGAGAACAGAAAGAAGGATGAGCCGACTGAAAATATCTCTACCAAGAAAAAATGGTCCTTCTGGTGAAAACAATAGTTACTCCTCCTTCACCATCCAACAAATTGTTGTTTTTGTACTCTTTTATCGCCATTGTTGTTTCGTTTTACACATGTGAATCCAGGATTTGAAGATTTAGGGTTCCTACAGCAACCTCATGTTAGTATACAATAATATTTGGGTTCACAGTTAAAGATGAATATAGATATTCAGTGAATTTCTTGATATGTACATGTTCTGTGCAAAAATACTTGGATTCATGTGAACTCGTATTATATGTTAGAAAACTTAGAAGTTGTGTTCTTAGGAGAGTTGCATTTCTAGTACCACAAAACATCAGTGTTGTCTTTTCCTCGTTTGATGGCTTTCATTCTTCCAGTTTTGTTAAGTGAATGACATTATCATCTTAGTGTCCAAAACTATGTTTTTGCTATTTACTGAAACACAGCAACAATAAGTCAAAAGTGCGATATTTTCAGACATGGAAGCTTACAGAATTTCACAGATGCAGTGGAACGATAACGAATCAATTCCAAGTAATATATTTGTCATGTAACAATGTCACAACAGATACAAGTCAAAATTGTGACAAGATAACTAGTCCACAGTACTGTAATCTTGTATGAGACAGGATTATAACTAGAGGTCTAGAGCCCAGTAGTGCATGAAGATATAGCTTAGTGAGTCGTTCCGTAAACTAAATATAGATTAGAGCCACATGAGTGTCGAAATCTCACCAATTGTTCGGTTTGATTCTGAAACTACACACCTTACACCTAATTTTAACAACCAACAAGGTTTGATACAGTAGGCTTCCATTGCCATTTACTAATCAAAGTATAAAAGAAAGATGACTATATACATTTCACTGTTCTTGCAATATGAACATCATACAGCTCAACTCTTGTAGCATAAAAAAATTTTCTAGTGCATGATACATAAAATCTTGTTAAGATGTTGAATTGGTGGCCACATATTAGTAATTATCTGCATGCTCTCTGTATATAGCAATCAGTTCTCCACCAAACCGGCAAATCTGGAACTAAGTATGAGTATACCGGATGCAATACAAATGCTTTTTTTCCTCTCTGAAGAAAGAGTGCAGCTGTATAGATAACTGACACTCCTCGAGGGCATTTACGAAAGCCCATGCAGACAGCTGAATTTCTAAAACAGATCAGCTCTCATTTCATGGACTCCTCGAATACCTGGACGTAATTGTGTATCAATAAAAAGTAAATCTTGTTTTGGACGCCATGAGGCAGCCTTGCACCATGCAGAGCAGCCAGTAAATGTTAAGTGCTCAAACGATTTGTCACTGATAATGAGGTGCACTTATCTGATACTTGTAGTTATCTGGCTTCCAAAATCCAAGAAGTGCATTCTTGGAGCAATTGAAACTTTTGATTTACGGCTATGTTCAAGAAGACTTGCATTTTATTGCGGAAATCTGAGACATCTTCCTTGCAGCTAAATGATCCGGCACAAGCACAGTGATCTGATAAATGTGCAGCTTTAATCTGGTGGCATTTTAGGCATACTAGATCCTGAAGATGGTATAGCCTCTCTCTCTGCCGAACAATTTGAACAAGAGCATTTTCCATTGCTTCACGATCATAAGGTTGCCCACACTGGGGAACAGCACAACGCCACTCCTGAGAAATCAAAGCTCTGTCTCGACACAAGTCAAGGTCTCTGCAGTCATTGCAGTAACTGAAAGCAACAGATCATGGAAATTAGAAAGCAACTAATATCCTGGATATTCTACAGAAGACAAAACCCAGCAGTGGCAGATACTCCCACCTGCTCATGTTTCAGGTGAAAGTAACTCATATTTCCCCTACATTTACCTGCAAATGACATTTGGAAGGGTATATGATACAGAAAGACTACGAAATTCTGCCTCTGGAGCAAATTCCCTCACACGAACAAGTTTTAATAAATTTTTCCTCATGATCTGCATAATAAGAAGCAATAAAACTAATTAATGGCGAGCTGCAATTAAATGTTATTGTTGCAGAAGAATCAATACTAGTGAATCCAACATATATTTGGCCATTAATAGACTGTCACACGCTACTTTAAAACACCACATTTCAACAGGTATCACTAAATAATTTAGCACTATGTGTTATGCAGAGCCTTCATGAGACTTATTGGATGGGAGACATAAGACTAAGCAATCGATGTACGTGTGGTTACTATACAGCAACCGGGGTCCCTCTGTACGCTAGACTAGACTTTCAGTGCCGGACGGAAAAAACGATGTCAATAGGTTTTACTAATACATATTTAATACCAGAACTTCAAGCTAGAAAAACATTTAATACCAGAACTTCATGCTGCACATTCTGGTCAAGGGCCAAAACTGCACAGACATGCTTAATGAACTCTAAAGCTGGATCCCCCTTTTGGACATGGCTAATAGATTGTGAGTTTGCATCTGGTGTCTCCTGTATCTTCTGAGAGTTGTTCATCACTTTCATTTGAAGATTAGGGTCACAAACAATTTTCAGAAGTTTGTCAGTGAAGTAAGTTCCAATCTGCAGGCAGAATTTTCTAAAGTTAAGTTCTCACGCATTAAAGAACTCAGCACAAAATTGACGAAGACAAGGGATGCCTATGAATGAGTCCTAGCAGATACCTTCTTCTTTAGATCTTCTGCCATTTGCAAATCAAATGTTTCAGCAAGTGCAGCAGTGATTGATGGTGTACATAAATCACCATCGCTAGCAGATACTCGATGTGTAGCTTGTTCTTGTGCATATTTCCATGGACCATACATAAACTCCGAAACAATCAAAATGAAGCGATCCTACATGAAAGACCAGCATAGAATAATAAGGCAGAATATTTTATCAAGGAGACTGAGGATCAACTGTGTTCTGTTGCAATATGGTGCGAACTAGTTAACTGGTATTTCAAGATCGGGGTGTCCACTTGTATCTTGTTGCACCTTCATTCATACAATAAAAGCAATGTTCCTGTACAGTTTCTAGCTGGGGAAATACCTGAGTTGCCTTCGGTAAATTTTCTGCAATGTTCCAGCTTGACACGATATCGACTTGAGATTCACCACACACACTTTCTTCACCTGGTTCTGAGTTAACTTCTAAAGGTTCATCACTATGTCTAGCTCGAATTCCACCATAATTGTACTATCATAAAAGGAAAATTGTAAGACGGAACTTTAATAAATGAGGATAGAAAGAACATATTTGTTGTCCGAACCATCAAACGAAAGTTAGCTTACGAACTCTTTACCCAGAATAATGGACTACCCCATGAAGCAAGCAGCATCCAATTTTTTTCTATCCTATTTACAAATGGATTTTACCTACTGATTTGATGCATTGCAATTTCATTTAGATTATCATATCTAAAAATCATTTGGGTTGAAAAGGTAATACAAATCATTTCCCAGCACAAAGAAAGCTGGCTAGGGCATTGATAGCATGAAAATACTGCCAAGATTCTAGTGGGCAACATATTCATCACCGTGAACTCAAACAGGGATTCAAGTAAATTAATGATTCGAAGAAAATGTGAACCATTAGGATACAGCTAGAGACTCAAACTGATCAGCTCCTATCTAAAATTCTCAATGCATGTATTAGCATTGACTTAAACACAACAAAAGGATCTTTTTGTGATTTTAAATGCATAAATCTGTTTCTTGGAGAAATGAAGGAAGAGACAGAACACAAAGCTAAAATGTTAATAACAAGAACAAATCAAGTCAACTGCCACAGCTAACCTGATCCATGAAAAGCAACGAGTGCCAAAACTGCAACGGCTCAAGTTCAATCCACTCAAACAATTCTCTGCAGATAGATAAGAGTAAGGGAAGAAAGACCAAAAAAATAAAAAATAAAAAATAAAATAAAAATAAAAATATATATATGTGTGTGTGTTGAGTAAACAACTTCTGATTCAAGAGACTGACCTTGATTGTACATTTTTAATAACATTATCACAGTAGGCTTTGGCAGCAAAAATATCTGACTTCCCAGTGTCAATTATGATTTTTGAGAAGTTGGCAAACACAATAGCAGCACCCAATTTTCGGAGTTCAGCCACAAGCAATGCAAACATCTTTTGCATAACCTGCCAATTATGAAAATATTAAAGCATCAGTTTTGATGAATGCAAGAAGAAATGGAGAAACCACGTGTGAATGAATTAGCATGCTGGGACACATTCCAGAGAAAATAAATGACATCAATGTCCCAGTACTAATAGCACGAAGGCACGTCATGCATCTCGACTTCCAAATAGAACTCTTTATGTTCTTTTTAGACAACCCAGAAGTTCTTATTCAATAAATTACCTTGTGAAGCATACTGTGAAGAGCTGGGTCATGCAGTCTAGATCGGGGGCTGCAATAGTTAGAAGGACAATGTAGCATTAGCAATCAAATATAATTGTGAACAAAACTGAAAGAAGCAAGCCAACCTGCAGAGCCATCGGTACAAATGTTGCAGCATTGCATCAGCAAATATGTTTCCTGATGTTACTGCATCTGTAAGGCACCTTTGAATCAACTGCTTAAGTACACGAAATGCTGGTGCACAGGATGTTGTTGCGTCAAAGAAGTACTGTTCATTAGTAAAATCCGTCGTAGGGTTCAAGTCCTGGTCCAATCCAAACAGAGTGCCTCCTTCCATTTCGTTTACTTGGTTGCTTTTCAGTAGAGCATCAACAGCCAGATGATGAATCTGATCACAATATCAGAAATAAGAAGAATCTTTTAGCAACAGTGTAATAGTATTATCTGTGTATTGGAAAAAAAACTACCAGACAAAGGAAAGAAGTAACTCAAGAAAATTGATGGAAATTAAAACCTTCAGCTCAACAGTAACTTTTCTATATGCACCAGGATAAGTAAGAACTGGCTGATTGACCTGCTTTCATAAAGCACAAGATAGCATAAAAATGTGGTCAAGAAAAACATCAGAAGGCTAAAAATTCTCTTGAATAATCAGTAAGAGAAATAAAGAAAGCAGATATTATTGTAAGAAGTTGATATGTTAAAGTTGACCTCATCCATAAAAGATGATACTTCATCATTTATGCCTCCTAAGTCAGGGATTCCATTATCAGATATCCACAAGACCTGTGAGAATCAAAAAGATTTATACAATCACGCAAGGATATCTAAAAAAATGCACTTATAATGCACAAAAAAACTTAAGTTGCTGAGAGTTCAACACAAATTCTTGCTTGGAGAAGTGCAAAATGAGAGGAACATAGGAAACAAACAATTTAAAACAGTTACGTATGAAGGTGGATATAATAGCACTCTATATCATCAGAAAGAATAAACCTGTCATCAAGAAGAACAGTGCAATATGAATGAGATAACCTGTTGCTGATCACGAAGTGCTCTGGAAAAGAAGATATCTGCTGTATGCATGAGCCAATCAACATCAAAATTCCCTATGGGAACCTACAATTGAGGCAATTGGAAACTTTAACAGTCAGAACTCTCTTGATTAGGCAATACTAGAGAGGAGAGAGTAAGAAAGAAATTACATGGGCATATCTTGAGAGAGTGATCCTTTCATTTAACCACTGGGGGGATGTCGCGCATCGCTGCATTCCAATCTTTGCTGCTACATTTTGCCAACCTAGTGCCTGAAAAGGAGAATTCTTCATTGTTTCATTGAGTATAGATAAGGATCAGATGTACTAAGCAATTGCTCCTTCTTAATCAGGTACTATTAGCATTTGTTGGACCTGATATTGACTATCCCGAGCATTACATGGGATGCTGATGCAAGGAAAATCCTCCAAAGCTCGTATGCCAGACTTCAGTAAATGGGCATTAGGGCACTCAATCATGGCAACTGCAGGTCCATGATGCCTGAATGTCAACCAACGGATTTACATGAGACACTTACCAAATGATATGGAGCTAAATATATGTCAACCAACGGATTTACATGAGACACTTACCAAATGATATGGAGCTAAATATAGAAGAAAATGTTTTAGAAAAAGCTGAATCTCTCGTGATAGCTCAATTTCAATATTTCAAGATAGGAAAAATCAAACAGAAACATAAATTTGATAATTCCAAAAATATGTCATCAGTCTATTCCCCCAACATTCAAACTTTATGATTGACAAGAGGGCATATTAAGAACAAATAGAATGACAAAGATTAAGATAATGAAAAATAACCTATGCTCATTAACTGCTCTCTGTAGAATCCTCTCAGCATCCTTGATGTACCCGACATAATCCAACTAAAATAAGAGCCAAAACACAAAGAGGATAAGAAAGAGAGCATAGACAAACTGTTAATGCTATTTTCAGGAAACAATGACCTTACCTTGAAACTAATACCTTCCTTTTGTGTGATAGGCTGCCCAGACAATGTTTGGCAAGCTTCATAAAAATGTCTTTCAAGAACGTTTTGTGATAATTCCTTGTTTTGAAATGGATTGACAACCACAACATGTATCATCTTGGACGCAGGAAAATGTCCCACATAAATGGCTCGTACATCCGACACACTGAAATATAATTCAGATATTACATATTAAGTCATGATAACTCGTTAAATCTGTAATGTAAACTTAAACACTTGTGTGACTAAATCCAGAAGAAACAAAATTGTGTGCGAAAAACGATGCAGGATTTCAGAAGCAACATGCCCCCAATAGAAGCTAAACAATTAATATTGTTCTAACAAACTGCTTAATCAATGCTAGTGATGATTGATATGTTTGCTTACACATGAAAAAATTTGAAAATTGATTATTCAAAGTAAAATATTGAGGCTCTGACTTGGTGCATTTGGATTAACGAACTACAGGTTTTTGGTTTAGTTTTTGGGAAAATTAAGGGTTCTTTTTTGGACCACAAATGTAAAAACGCGTCTGTTTGGATAAAAAAAAATTGATAACTAGTAAGATTGTATTCTTCAGCATTAAGAGCATTCTGCTACCTGCCTACCTCTGCACCAAAGACAGACAAATTCAACTCTATTTTCAAGATTGAAGTTGAAGTCCCCGCCCCCTAAAATCTAATATGATCTCACTAAGAAATGGGAATAATCAATCTAAGAAACAATCCAAAGAGCTAAGCAGTAAGCAATATCCAAGTCATTTACATAGAAAGAGGCGAGTACAGTTTCACTTGCTTGGTAACCTCTTTCCCGGTCAAATATAGGAAAGAATCCAAAGCTTGCAAGGATATTAGGCTTCAAATGTTGTTAGGACGGATAAATTGGGAGGCTAGGACGAAATAACCTACCTTGAATACAAAATAAATTACTAGACGGATTGGTTGGCCCACTTGTATGTAATTGAATAGAGATCAAGGCAAATTCCCCTGATGGAAGTAAACATAAGGATTCCTCACGAACGAATGCAACACATGGAAGGCTTACGGATGTAGTACTGGACGGCAGAGTAAGGCAAGAACTTTGGATACCAAGTAGATTAATGGATGTACTACAAGCCAGCAGAGAAAGGCAAGAACATTGGATAGCAAGTAGATTTAACACAAGACAAATTAGATCATCAATGGTTTTGGAACTTCTGAGCAATTTTTAGAATATTAGCAAGCACTTCAAATTTGTTTGCTGTGACTCTTAGAAGGAACCAGGTTTGGCAAGTGAACGGGTTTTACGTGGTAATTGACAGGTGTCATGTCTATATAGTACCCAACAGTCGAGCATGGGTCATGCAAAGAGGATCTTTTAATACATGGAGAGAACCTTTTATAGTCAAGTAAGATTGTATGAATATATTAAAATATTTGATTTGATGAAATAAACTGTTCTATCTATCCTCATAATAGTTAATACAGTGTCACCCACCAACATGTTTCCTCTTTAGGACAAGTATTACCATGAACATTGAACTAAACATAATATATCATGAATCATCAAAGAAAATAAAATATCAAACTTGAAATGGAAATCTTTCTGTAAATTTTAGCAGGTATATAATAGAATCAAAGGGGTCCTAACTTACCTATGATACAAGTAGAAGAAAGTTATGGACTGATCCAAATACGGGCACTCAGTTGTTGTCTTCATATGCAGCTCACTCAAACTCCAACCATCTTGTGGATTCCTTTTCTTAGTTGCTTTATCAACTTTACAAACACAACCCATCTGAAGAATAGCACTGAACTCTAATGGAACCTTTGTTTCATATATTCCCTGATCAAAGAATCTCGTAAGCCATGTTGCAGCATATACAGACATTTAACATTCAACCAGAAGAGTAAGAGTTAAAGAGACAAGTTCTTTTTCAGTAAATATATGAGATCACAATCATGCAGTCCAGAAACATATATATATATATGCTGAATGACTGGAGTGCACAGGAAAAATATCATTTTTACCGAACCCCAGCGGGTTCTCTATGATGAAACTGGAAGTGAATCCTCCACAGTTTTGAATTACTTCTCGGGTATTATGATTGCTATAAACAAGGGGAAGATCCACCATTTTATGTTGAGAGAATCTTTTGTTCATGAAAAGCCGTCTCATATCAGATTCATAAAGTATTGCGCTACTGTTATTCATTGTCCTCATCTATTAACAACTTAAAATTACATTACTAGTAATGAAAATTTTCTAAACTATAATTTTGTTGGATCTTTTTTGTTACAATTTTGTTGGCATACAGAATTCACAAACTATGTACATAGTAACGGAGGACTTCATTTTTTAGTGCATGATTTAAAACTAATTTTACAGAAATAAAATGGTACTGAGAAATAAATGTAGGCCATATTGTACCAATTAAAACCATATTTGAGAGAGTTCTTTTTTGATTGATAATGCAAGTAATTTATTGATCTAAACCAGCAAAAAGATTGCTGGTGAAAGCACATCTAAAAGGGGTAAGTACTAACAGTGAGTGTGAAGAGCTAAGGAAGGAATGTTGTCTTAGCTTTCATACCTGGCACAGTATACAGTACAATCGTACTTGAATTTAGCCTTTAAGGAATGTTGTCTTAGCTTACACATTAATATATTGCCCCTTACGTTTCTTAATCCATTCTACAGGTCATGTAATCTGGCTGCCTTGCACAGTTGCACTTAAACATTTTAAGGAGATTCAAGAAAAAATTATGAAGTTTCAAATTTATCAATCTAAAATTTGTCTAAATAATTTGAGTTGGATCTATACCCACTCTTATTATTGTCAATTCATGATATTCCATTTTTCAGCAAATCCTCTTAATAAAGTGCAAGACAAATATCAAACAATTATAAAGTAAAACTATGTCATCAAAATCTCAAGCTACAGATTTAAGATTTTGAATATAGAATGGCAAAAGAAACATCATGAATGGGAAATTCAAGAACCTAACAGAGAAGACATGTATGTGCAATTGGACAATTAAAATCATTACTAACAGTACACTTACAATACAAATTGATTCAACTTTTTAAAAAGAGAACGGAAGGCAAACACGTTGACAGATCTTATAAAAGAACTTGACATCAAAAGTAAACTTCTGATTACACTTGCAATTGCCATTTATGAGTGAAGTGCATGCACCAAGCATGTTCAGGTTTATGAACAATACAGAACTTTAGGCGGAAGAAATACTGACCTCCACTTCTGGGTCAGCAAGGTGAGCTGCTAGCTTTTTGCTTTCTGACTTGAATTGATCCTCATCAATAGTGACCTAGTAAGAAATAGAAATTGTGCAATGACGGAACCTAAAACCTTCGCAGCCAAACGCATTAAAGTATGATCAGAACTGATAATGATCAATGTACCTCAATTAAATTGTAGCTATGGCGTCCATGAGGAAGAATCTTGTTGACACGTCTTCCAGGAAATTCCTCAGTTATAGGAGCTTTGGAGTTGAGGTAAAACACTCTGGGGATAGTTACTGAAATTTTGTGCATGACTCCTTCCACAACTACCCATGCAAAAAATTGTCCATGTTGTGAAGTCGGTTCAAGTTGAACTATCTGAAGGAAAGACAGATTACATAAGAACCAATGGAAGAAATGGATTCAGCAGAATACTCATTAAAACCATATGAGCAACATCACCTGCCAGTGATTTCGTGTGAGGGCTAATTCGTGTCGCTCAAAGTAGGAATTAACCCCAGTTTTTCCCTGGCGTTTGCGATTTGCCATGCTATGAAACATGTCAGCACTGCCACTAACATGGTTTACTGTCCTCGACGTATCCAACCTAACAAATACAATAACATCAGAAGAAGAACAAGCCACGATGCACCACAGAGAGTTCAATTGAAAAAGAAATGCTGAGATATTTGGATGAATCTGTTGTGCCTGATTTGATTTAGAAATAGATATTTGGATTTGAGTATCTGTTGTGCCTGATTTGATTTATCTGTGCAAAAGTATTCAAGTAGGAGATATTTATCAAAACCCAAGACAACAATAATAAAAGTTATACAGCAATGTGATATTCCTTATTATTTGGATAACGAGGTAGCTGCAGTAGGTGTGACCGGTGAAAACTGTGATGATATGAATGATAAAGGTAACAGGTTTCCTCTACCCATAAATAGAGGTCATTCTTCCTTCATATTTGCAGAGGTTTCCTCCACCGATAAATAGATGTAGTTATTTTGTTATATTAGTCTAATATTACTCCCTCCGTCCCATTTTATATGAATTAGTTTGACTTGGCACTATGAAGAAATACCATCATACTCCCTCCGTCCCATTTTATATACCATCTTTTTGGGACTGACTAAATAGGAAAGTAAGTTATATAAACTGGGACAGAGGAAGTATGATGGTATGTTCTTATGGTACCAAGCACTATGAAGAAATAACCTCAGTTCTCACTGTAATTTTCAGGGAGTTTGTCAAAATTCTGCACCTACTCTTTCTATGCCCCTCAAATTCTTTACTACTTCCTTTCTTTTTTGTCTGGCTATTGGATTCTTGTCATCACATCCATTCTAGTAACTATTTTTCTTATAATCATGGTGTCAGGGCCAGCTTGCGTGCACATCACAAGGTACTTGCTGTCTCCCACCAGCACAGGTACTAACTTTGTCTACCAGGCTTGGACAGCTAGGACGAAATCACCCAGTGTTTTTGTCTCCGATGAGATATGAACCTGAGACTCATAGTTCAACCCACTTCATTAACCAATGTGTCATACCCGTGAGTAGCATTTAGCCACCGATTCCCAAATATTTTTGACAAGTCATTTTTGTGTGAAGTTTCACCATACGTTTGGCCATAGATTTTGGGGAGATATATTTGACTTTTTAAAGAAACATGTTTAATACCCATAAGTTCCAAAACCTATTTAAAATATCCATAAGTTTGTATTATCATTTTATAATAAGCACGTTCCGCGAAAATTCATGACAACGAACACAATTAATATGAATCTGAAAAAAAGAGGAAGAAAAAAAAAAGGAAAATACCAATGATATATCTACAAAAAACTACTATTACTACTTGTAATTGGAAGTGACTTTGGAGAGCAAACTCGGACAAAAACTGTATAAAATATGTATATAGCTGTATAAATTTTGTACTACGAACTAGGACTGAAATTCTGTTCAAAATTATAAATGATGTGTGTTTTTATAAAATATAAAAGTGGGGTAATTTTTAAATTTTTAAAAGTTCCCAAATACTAGTTTTTTCTAGTATTTGAGAATTTGGATTGTTTACCAGAAATATTTGCCAAATAATGGAAGTCGTATGGCCAAACAATATTTGCCAAGTTCTTTTCCAAATATTTTTGGGAAAAACTATGGTCAAACAGGTCCTTAGCCCATGAGTGCCTTCTCTAGTGACTATTTACTATCGCACTACTCTTCACTGTTCTACTTATTAGTAGTAATAATGTTATTTTAGTATTATCTTATTCTTCAATTTTTTTATCCTACTATTTTTGCTTTAGATACTTTCCTTTTTCTCGGTATTTTCATCATTGCTTCTTCACTTTTGTATTGTTTGAAACAATTTTCTTGAGCTGAGGTTCTATCGGAAACAGCCTCTCTACCGAACACAAGGTGGGAGTAAGGTCAGGGTACACTCTAGACTCCCCAGGCCCCACCTATGCAATTATGCGATCACGCTGGGTATGTTGTTGTTGGTGTATTGTTCACTGATCTGGTTTACTATTCTGAGCACCATGCCGAGCACTATTCTGCCAAACATTATTCCTCTGCCAATGTATTTTTTCCTTGGGCGATTGCATCTACTTTCTAGTTTTCCATCTGCATCATATTAGTTGACAGCAAAGGAAGCTTCTAGGGATGGTATTTTTAAAAAAAATCATAATCTACCATTATTATGTCAACTTGACATTCACTTTGGAACAATTAGAGAATGTGTATAGACTTCTTCAGTCAATTCAAGTTCGTCCTGATACTTCTCGCTCTACATGCTACCTGATCATACATTTCTATTAGTAGATCCAGGTGTTGGCAACACGAGCCTTTCACATTTTAATTCCAATCACACTTCTCCCCCTGATCATTCTTACATTTACAAAGCAAATGGATCCTTAGCTCCTATGTGAAACACTTCTCACTCTGATCTCTTCTTCAGAATAGTCTAGTAACTATAATTATTGGGCTGCAACCTTAGTTTTCTTCAACACATGTTTGACAATTGACACATCAATAGAAGTTGTCTTACTTTCTATGTTTGATCTTTGGATAGTTGTGTTTGTAATAAATATGCTACATATTGCAAATTATTCCTCTTATAGAGAATTAGAGATAAGCATACCTTTGGCGTTTCCTTTCTTCACGAATCTCTTTCCATTTTCTCTTTTTTTGCTGTAGCCATCCATGATAATCTACATTCCTGTCAATATCTTCCACATCAGCAATTTCTTGTGATGGTAACATCTTGGATGGACTGCTAGCATGACCATTTTTCTGTTGACTGTCCAATCGATCACTAGTGTTCACTAGATGTTCTTTGTTGACTCCATGACGATGAACAACAGGCCTTGGACCAAATATAGACGATTTACCACTGTGTCTAAAGTCTTCCAGGTCTTCAAAATTTTGCTGATTTTTAGAATGTTTACTGGCCACTGTGTCATCTTTGTTCACTGAACTGAAGATATCATTCAATTTTCGTTGGCGAAATTTGTCTTCTTTTTCACGAACCTTCTTATGCAGCCAATCAGGATGAACCACCCTTGGGACAGGGTTTGAAACCTGAAAGCACCAGAATCATGTACTGGAATTTGCAAATTACTGCATCTTAATCCATAAAATTAGACAGCTAGCTGTACCTTCTGCATTGCAGCAGGAATTGTGATAATCTTTTGGATTGCTGAACCAAGTCGTTGCTTGTAATAAGACCAATCAATAATGGAGCGTATTCCGATTTCCGATGATATTTTGCACCACTTTTTGACATAGAACCTCATGATCTCTGAAGAGCCAAGTGTATAAGCAACTAATGCTCTTTATGTAAGGTAAAGGGCAAATTATAGCAAATTAATGCAAAAACTTACCTGCATTAGTTTCAAATATTGCAACAGGAATAGCACGTTCGCTTACTGGGGTTCCCTGCACGATAAGACAATTGTAAAATTAACTGCAGAAAGAGAGTAGCCAAAATTATGGGAAGAAAGAAAAATCAGAGTAAAAAAATTAAATTCTCTATCTCTTCAATGCTAGTTCAACCTTAATCTGAGAGGCAACTGCGTGCGTCTTGGAAGTACCTTTTTAAGCAAAAATGATAGGAATGCCTTCAAAAGAAAACAACTGGCCTTCCATAATTTCTTCAGATTTTTATTTTTATTTTTATTTTGATAAACAGTACTTAGGTAGTACTGAAACCATATTTACAAATGGGACTCTAAAACGCTTCTATCTCTATCTATAATGAATCAAGTACATCAATAATAGGCAGACTCATTAGAATATATCTAGTTACACCAAAAACAGAGCAGCAAGATAAAGTTATGTTTGATCTTCTGCACTTCATTTTCTACACCTTCATAGCATCTGGAATTCCTCTCCTTCCACACTGTCCACCAGATGAATGCCGGGAAAAATTTCCAGCTACACATATTTTTAGCTATTCCTCCTACTTCCGCCCAACTTCTCAGAACTTCAGAAACCTTGCCTGGCATAACCCATTTTAGGCTTTTAAGGTTCAAAATTATACTCCATAACCTGAATGTGAACTTGCAGTGTAGAAATAAGTGGTTGACTTTCTTTAGATTTTAGGATAACCAATCATATTAACTTAACCTTCACTGGTTCTAGCTTAAATTTTCTTCCTTTTTCCCCCAATATTCACATGGAACAAACTTATATCAAGTGTGGAAACAATCACCATCTGAGGGGCTACCCAAATGAATTATTCTATGAAAAGAAAATGGGCAAGAATAGTATGTATTGCAACATCTAGTTTGTGAATGATGCACAATAGAGGAGCTCACAATAAAGCTGAGGAAGGTCTGTAAGCAAGTGAAGTAGTAAAAATGGCATGTACATAAGGCTGAAAAATCATTGGGGAGAAGTGATTAAGATTAACGAGGACATGACCTTAGATAGGAGAAGATGGAGGTCGCGTATTAGGGTAGAAGTTAAGTAGGTAGTGGCCCTATTCTTGTTAGTTCTAGTTTTAGATATCTATCTTCATCTGTTTATTATGTTTCGGCTACTGCACTATTCTGTTGTTGTTCATATTCTTTTCTTCTCGGCTTTGTACTGCTTCTCCTATTAGTTGTTATGTTTTTGTCACTGTTTTCTTCTTCTTTATACCTGAAATTGATGCACTTGAGTCGAGGGTCTATTGGAAACAATCTCTCTACCTCCACGAGGTAATGGGAAGGTCTGCGCACTCTACCCTCCCCAGACCCCACTTGTGGGATTTCACTAGGCATGTTGTAGTTGTAAATGGGGTAATTTGGCCCTTAGTAAGACTTTCACACTTAAGATAAACTAGTATAGCTTCAGATAACAACAGTTGCAGTAAATGAAGTCAATCGGTTCATGATGTCAAAGGAAGAAACATGAAAAAATTATCGATCAATACTGAAAGAAGCAAAAACTGGATATTTGTGTCTAGTGGAACACTGAGGGCAAAAACTTATAGGGGTTTTGGGAGGGGCATAGCATAGCATGTTTCCTGGCCAAGATGAGAATTATAATTTTCTCAGAATTGACCACAACTTGTCCAAAAAGAACTATTTTGGAAGTTAGAGACATCTTAACAGGACTTCATGCAAATGAGATAAGAATTATGCAGCTAAGAGCAAATTAATCCATCTCTATCAAAGAGCATTTGAAGCAGCCCTTTCTAGTTTCCCTCATCTTTCAGACCAATTTCTTGGATGTGTCCATTTCCCTTCACAATATTATGGCTAAAGTAAAAGCCAACTCTAAAAAATAGCCATGGAAATATATTTATTGAGTAGATCAAAAAAAAGTTCTTCATCAAAACTCTAACTACAGAGGGGAACTACCAAATCAAGCTGAAACAGGTATACCTTTGGCTCACATGCAACAATATATTGACAAAGCAATCCTTTCTCTTTGACCATTGCATCCCCCAGAAAATCAGCAAGCCGTTTAGCTGTAGTTACTGCACATGACTTTTGCTCACCATAATCGGCCAGGGACTTGCTCATTGTGCTTGATTCAGATATATATCCGAGCAACTCACTGTCTGCAATATCTTGGCCTTGATTCTGGAGAAACAACAGACTTATAACTGCAACTATAAAAGATTTTAACAAATGCCACTTTTGATCGCTCTTGCATAAGTTATTATACATTGCATGCTTAAAATTAAGAACTTCACAGCAGTTTGCTAAGATAAATCTTCACTTACATCAAGCAGGTCAAGCCACCGATCTGCCACAGCAGCAACTGCTGAATAGCATTCCTCTAAGGTTGATCCATGGAGGAACTTATCAAAAAGCTCAGCCTGCAAATATGTTCACTCAAGAATCAATTTGTATGACAACATAAAGTAGATAAAACAAGTAACCACTAAAATATCAGTAAATCAGATGTTGGATCCTCATTGACCATACTATTCTAGATTGAGTTGAATGGGCCATAGTAGCTTAAATAATCAACTTATGCTAATTGATGGAATACCAAAGAAAAATCTCACAGGATTAGAGTTGTGCAACTCTTCAAGATTGAACTATAGCTGTTTAGAGGCAAGAATGTGGCTACAACTCTCACACAGTACAGTAAAGTATAATAGAATAGAAAGGGATAAACTGTTGGCCAGTTCATAAAATGCCAGCTGGATATAATGGCAAGAGTAGCAGCTTCTTTTGTCCAGAATAAAATATGAGCAACAGTAATGATGAAATGGTCTTAATTTCCTCACTCATTACTATATAGAATTCATACCTAACTTTGTTATAAATGGAGAAATCAAAAAACTGTGCATTATAAGACATTCATAGGTGCATCCAAAATAACCAGATGTTCCTTTCTCAGTCATTAGCTAGGACCAACTCAAAGGTTGCAGGTGAAGCAAGATGCAATAATTCAAGTCAGGACCATAACCACTAAAGAAGTAAACATCTATTTATAGATGATAGAATTCTCAATTTCTAAGATGCACACCATGTCAATCTTCCATGATAAATCAAAAACATAAGGGGGCAAAACAGAGGTATCTTTTTTTTTTTTGATGACAAGGGAAACCCGCAGCCGCTACCCTTTGGGTGGGCACAGGGTAAAACCCCGCTCCTATGCAATAGCTCGCAAACCACATAGGAGAGGTAACCCGCACTAGGCAAGCTTGGTGCGACGAGCTCAACCCAGAAGGCAAACCCCTTGCTTTTGCTGGCAAGGGGTTTCGAACTTGAGACCTTCAACATGAAAGTCCCAAGCCCAAACCACTGGGCCACCCCGAAGGGTCAGAGGTATCTTCCACATCAGGCTCTCTCAAAACCTCCTAAATAATTCTCACTAGTTTTTTTTCAGATCAGCCAGTAAATCCATCTAATACTAAGCAATGGGAAGGCCAATGCCTAAGGATATTAACCTACAAGACAATGTGAAAGAATCATCTGACTTTAGATGTAAACAACCAGCAGACATGAATTTATAGTACGGTAGAAAGAATGCATCTTATACTCCCAGATAATCTAACTTGCATCCTAATTAAGTCAAACTAGTTCTCTTTCAATTACTTTTCTCAACATCTAAAGTCACTGATTTAGCCAACAATGTATAAGGACTTCTATATAAGAATCAGGAATTAGAATCCCTTTTGGGCCTAGAATAGAAAATTCCCACAAAAAATGTAATAAGATTTGTCATAACAACGTATTAAGTCCACTATGGAAGGAAATACATTGGGTGTACACATAATATCTACTGGTAGCTGATATAAACCAGGGTCAAAAAGTTTAATATGAACTACTCCAAATCGAGATAACCATATATTCCCCCTACATATGTGTACAGTAAACGTCGTTTCAGAAAACAGTACACTAGTATGGGATTCCATAAGTTGAACTACCTAGATATTTGTCTCATAAACTGGACTACATATTTTGATGTAGTGTACCAGTGGATATATAGATTAACTGTTACCAGTCTCAAACTGTTAGATAGCATCTTTCATAAGAGTACTGAGCCCTGAAAGGCACAGCCTAATAATCTGCATATTACTACTCCATTTTGTCAAACACTGAACAATGATTAGTGACCCATTTTATAACTTAAAAGTTGCTCTAAATTCAGAAAGAAAAAAATACACTTTGGATGAGGTTTCTTTAAATGTACTGGTGGACTGGCGGTATCATTTAAAGAGGTCTAGTCCAAGTGTTCTGCATCTTAAAAACAGGAGCAAATTGTTGTCCCCTTATATAGTAAAAGGTCTTAGAATTTGACAGATGTGACATAACAATAAAACAAGATGGAATCAGGAAACAGCTGGAATCAGCAACCTAAACAACATGAAGGGGAGGAGATGCTTTCAGAAAGCACAACAACTACACTTCAGTCCCAAACAAGTTGATATAAGCTTAATGAACCCTCACAGACCATGTCTCTCAGAAAGTAAATAGGAGAAAAATATCTTTTACTTCAAAGAAGAGAATAAATAGTGTATTAAACAAATGAAGTGAGTACCTGAAATACTTTGATGAGCTTTAGCTCACCTCTACGTTTAATTTCAAAACCTTTAAGTTCGGCAAGCGTACCATCATCATTGAAAACTGCATAGCGCTTCTTTATTAGAATACCTTCTTCCTTGGAAGCGGGAAGAATCATTGCCTACTTGCAGAAAAAAATAAAAGAATAATCAACATAGTTATCATGCCTTATTAAACAGCACAAAGTTCCAAAAAGGGACAACACAACGAACACGAAAGTTTGCTTATAGATGTGTGTAGGTGTTTGTGTTTCACCTTATATGGTCCATCCACTTCAAACTCAATTGAGCATTCACTGTGTATTGTATACGTCTTATTGATGGGGTCCTTGAGCGTCTGAAAATGGAAGAGGAAATAGTTTCTTTAATGCAGTAGAAAACAGTGTTTCTAGTTTATTTAAGGTTACAAAAATGATAGACTAATAGTCTTGCAAAAACAATCTGAAAGTGAAACAAGCAGAGTACAGGACTAGCGTCCCCTCCAACCTGGTACTGATCATTGGTATTGTTTCTTGCCACATCAACATTCAGCATTACACAAGGATAAGAGATTGTTAGCTTCTTCTTTGGATCTCTGAAATACACATCCATAATCATCATGATATCCAGTAAAACAGCAGAAAAAATACCATTCTTAATATAAAGGACAAACCTCTACAAAACAGAAATCATCTCAGAAAATAAATATCATACAGCACAAATTACAAGAACAGAAGAAAGGGCAACAGCAATAACACTTAAAGAAACAATGTTTCTTAAGAACCAAAGCATACTTTGTCTTGAAGGTACAATTCTCAGGGAAAGAGCCTGGTAATGCACACCAAATACCATCTGTGTCTAATTCGAGGGGCTTTCCAATTTTTTCAACCAACAATCGAGCATTCTGAATGATTTTTGCACCTGTATATGTGACAACTCCAGCCATCTCCATTGAGTACCATCTTGCACCCCTGAAGGAGAGAAAAAGAGACTGTAGTTACACTGCTTGAAGGCATAGAACAAGGACAGAACAGTGTGCCGGAAACAGAGAAAGAAAATAAACATACTTGCGCATGACATAACCATAAAAGGAGTTTAAAATGCATTTATGAGCCAGCTGCAATGAATCATACACAACTACCATGTCCTGTGAAAATCAATGAAAATGTAGAACGATTAGTGACATATAGCATTCTCTCTACTTATCAAAGACAGAATGAGTTTAAACAATAGAAAAGACACATTAAAAAGGCACCTGTGCTTCTTGAATCTTTATGGAATTTCCACTAGCCTTTGCTTCAGACAGCTTACCTTTCCAAACTTTATTGAGCCCTTTGTATTCATACCTCCTATCTCGGAAACTTTTAACAGAAAGCAAAAATTCATATGAGCAAACTTGGGGAACAGCTGAAAAGCTCCAAACTGATATTGTTGACATAGTACAGCTATTAAAATACTAGAGATAAACAAACGATCCATAAGCTTGTCTTACCTCCGTACAGTATCAACATAAAAAGGATTTTCTCGCATGCAGATCCCTGCTTCTCGAACTTCTGTGACCGGCTTTTCAAGAACTCTTTTATATGCCTTAAAATAGTTAAAAAGGGACTACTCAGTTTTCCTAGAAAAAGAAGTTAAAGAAAGATGGCATAGCAAAGTTAGCAACTTACCTTTTGACAGTATTTCTTTAAACGGTCCTTGAGCTTTACTTGTTGTTCTGCTTTAGGCAAATCAAGAAAAGACTTTGATCGTTGACCATCTCCTACTTCAACAAGTTCAGACTCGAGTTGTCTCTTTATGTGGTAATAATCACTGATGTTTCGTATAAACGAAATATCAAGTTTCAGTAGCAATCTATCTGAAGTTGCCAATTTTGTACTAAATGACTAGAAAATATACCTCCTTTTTGCCATGTACATTTCACCACGCCAAACCCATTCAAGCTTCCGGAGACACTTTTTGCCAGGACGATTAAAATCGCATGCAGTGCATATCTCATCTGATACTATTGATGGTGGCTGATGGAATCAAGTAATTAAAGTTAAATTCAAAAGGCTACCAAATATAAAATGCTACATATACAATTAAGAGATAATGCACCCAACATGAAGCACCTCCTCAATAAGACAGCAGAAGTAAAAATCAGTATGTGTCAGCTGTTCAGCACATCATGTTTTAAAGCCAATTGGGTGTCAGCCATAAATGATCCACACAAAGCCCATTGCAAGCATCTAAAAATAACTGCCGAATTGTTTTCTTATTTTTTTTAGGCGGCTTTTTGAATTGATTTCTTGAAATGACACAATACAAAATATATTGATGATACTCGTAAATTAGAATTATTACTTTTTAGGCTGGCAACTACTCGTAAATTAGAATTAGAATTAATTTATTAATGGTCACGCCCTAGAGGCTGCACTTAAACAGCAGCAAAGTCAACCAATATTCACAGCATGGACTTCCAGGACAATGGATAAGTATAATTCGAGGGTATAGCAGTTGAAAAATTAGAAATATCATTCTAATCCCCTTCAGATATGATTGGTTTAGTGTTACGTAAACCCCTAGAATTTACTATTTAATTGATTCTCAATCTTCTAACTGGTCTCCGATTGAACCTTCTACAACTTGTACATTCTTCTGCCTTGTCTCCCCCAGAATCTCTTACGGACGGAATATTATAGTGAAGACTGAAGACTCCCACATTGGTCCTATAAAGGGATGGGTGGTCTCATTAATATAGTTTGGGCAATCATCACCTTTTGAGCTAGCTTTTGGGATTGAGTTAGGCCCAAGATCCATTTCTTTACATGGTATTGGGCCCACATTAAATTGCTAACGAATCACATATCCAGCCTTGTGCATGAGGGATGAAGAGTCCCACATCAACCATTTAAGGGCTGGGTGGCCTCATTAATTTGGGCAATCCTCACCTCTTGAGCTAACTTTGGGGGGTGAGTTAGGCCCAAGATCCATTTCTTTTTTTTTTATGACAAGGGAAACCTGCAGCCGCTACCCTTTGGGTGCGCATAGGATAAAACCCCTGCTCCTATGCAATAGCTCGCAAATTACATAGGAGAGGTAACCGGCACTAGGCAAGCCCGATGCGACGAGCTCGACCCAGAAGGCAAACCCCTTGCTTTCGCTGGCAAGGGGTTTCGAACTTGAGACCTCCAACATGGAAGTTCCAAGCCCAAACCACTAGGCCACCCTGAAGGGTGCCCAAGATCCATTTCTATACAAATATATTCTTAAGATTAACTCTATTCATTCGAAATCTGGTGTTCCCAGAATGCCCATAGAAATTCATCTTCTAATGATTAACATGTGATATTATCTTCATCCCAAGATTTACAAAATTTCAAATTCTAATGACTGTCGCTATCCCCAGTTACAAGAAGTTAATCGTTAAGGACCAACCTGCTGACTTTAAAGCAGAATGCAACAAGAAAAAGAAACAGGTTTAAAAGTCACACAAGACAGGCAGAGAATAAAACCCCACAAGTCTTCAACCTCTAGCATCGTGTATCACTAGAGTCTTTTATTGTTCTTTCCTCACTCCCCAATTTTCACATGTCTAACCAAGCTGCTGGAATCTAGATTGAAAATTTCAAGTTTACTCTGTTCCACATCAGCACAGTTATCTGTGCATACATAATACTGCTTTAATAATCAAAATACTGTGCTACCTTCTCTTTGCATCCCAACAAATGAAGATGTTAAAGATATAGTCTTGTTGTTTGGTAGGTAGTAAGCAAGTTGTAAAAAACTACTCCTCTGATCTAAACTAACCGCCATCCTTCCTCTGGGACATTTTTAAACTTGAAATGGTAGACTATTTTATCCTAGTCTATTAACGATTTACCTTGTCAATTTTGTAATATACAAAAAATTAACTTTTCTGCCCATGGTTTCTTCCGTCTAAAACAGAAAACTGGATTTTCAATTCCTTTAAACTATTCAGAACAGGGAAAAGAACACATTCGATCTGGGAAGAAAGAGTAACAAAAAAGCCAGACTTACTAACATGCCAGAGAAGAACATTCTTCAAGAAATGGACTGCGAAAGCTGACATACCTGAAGCCTATTTGTAAGTATGATGTTTGGATACATGGCAGCTACATCAAGATGATATATGAGGGGGCATTCTTCCCTTAAAGGATCATCTCGTAAGCTCATTAGCTGTAAATAGATGGTTAAGATGGTCAGAGAGGAGACAAAGTTCTGCAAACATCTAAAGATTTTCTCAAACTATTAAGCTACGCAATAAGAAAGAAAGTCTAAATAAGAAAAAAATGAAAAGAAATCAGAAACTTCCAAAACAATAAATTTGACTCCTGTCAGATATGGCCATGGGTGCCGGCGGAATACTTGTCAAATCTCTCTCATGTGACAGACAAATGCCTCAACTCAGCTGAAATTATCAACAAACGAAACGAGAGATGCACTACCTTTTCCATGATGGCATTCTTCACTTCATCATAATTTGTGACAGATTCCAAGTCCATCTTCCCCTCAACTACAATAGAATACTGCAGATCTCTATCAAGGTTGCTGATCAATAGCTGGAGTGTTGAGAATCTTCATGTTAGTAACTAATACAATGGAACAGAAGAGCCTAGAAAATATCAAAAGCTAACTGTAATAGACACCAAAGATCTCAAAAGGCAAGTCTTTAAACAATTTAGGATGTAGTTACTGTACATAAGAGCAATACAGCAAGCTAAAAAAGGACACTTCACAGTGAATTACTACATTCATCTACAGCAGCAAGAAGAGAATTGGGAGATCAATTGGCCTTTGGAAAATGCTTCAGAGAACAAGAGCACCCCCTAAAGCAGTCTATTTTGAATGTATAGCTGAAAAAGTGGCTTGTCAAACGCAAGCTGCACTTCAGAAAGAGGCCTGTCTCTCTGCAATATATGTTTCTTATGCAAAGCCTCATTGGAAGCAAACAATCATCTTCTGCATCCAGCTTATCCACCACTCTCTTCAACCTTTCTGTCAGTACCTTAGAGATCATCTTGTAAAAGCTACCAATCAAGCTGATGGCCTGAATCTTTAAGCTCCTTTGCTCCTGTCTTCTTAGGAATCAGTGCAATGTAGGTTGCATTAAAGCTTTATTCCAAATATACCACTTGAGTGAAAATTATGAAAAGCCTCCATTATGTCTTAACTTAATAACCTCCCAACACTTTAGGTAGAACCCCATTGTAAATCCGTCAGGGACTGTCTATACCACGCGTCTTCAGACACTCAAAAACTTCTTGCTCTTCAAAGACTGCTGGTGGTGCCTCTTTCTCATCCTCTGTGATGGACTGATGGTAGGATGGTTGCTAACATTTTCAAATTGCCTCCAGTTTTCAGTTTCTGTGAACAGCTTCTTGTAAAAAGACATGAATTCTTCCTTGATTCTGTTTGATTCAGATATAGTCTCTCCTTGTAGCTCTAACTGATCAATGTGATTATATCTCTTGTGGGCATTAGCATTCTGGTGGAAAAACTTAGTATTCATGTCCCCCTCCTTGAGCCATAAGGCCTTTGAAGTCTGTCTCCAGGCCACTTCTTCACTCTTCAAACATCCTTTACAATGGGTTTGTTGTTGTTGTATGAAATTTTGTTACGTTTGTGATAAGACCGTTGAAAACCAAATATATTTTCCTCTTCAAAGTCAATTATTCATAAAAATATAACCAACAGACATCCATGTATTTGGCCAAACTTTCATGCTAGTCCAAAAAGTTTATAGTATTATCAACTAGATGGTTTGAGGAGAAACAAGACTTCTATTCCCTTTTTCTCAAAATAGATTACCTACTTCATTTCATGGGTCAACAGAAATAATTTTAGATAGATTGTTATAAGAAGTGATTCTAGTAATAGTTTAAAATGGTGAAAAAATAGAGTAACTAGAAGAAAATAACTCATGAAGTAGTATTACATAAATTCGTCTAATCTGGAAGAAGAGAAAGCTTTATAAGATTGTTAACCTCATAGGCAGAGGGATCGAGTTTAAAACTGGTTGGGATGTCAGATCTGAATACACCACTTTCTAGGCATTCCACATGACCACCAATGTATGTCTCACTGTCAAGGAGTTGACTACCATAAAACTTCTCTGGATCAGACTGGTGCTTGTTTGGACAGATAACATTTGCCTTATAAGCCTGTACGCAGGAGAAATGCAGAAGAAAAACAAATAAGGCAGTTAGCATACAGAAGAAAAGTGGAAAGCATCAGTGGAGATTTCCTTTGTCCTCTTTTCCAAGTCAAACAGAATCAAAACACTGAAGAGGCACCAACCATAAAACTAAAATCCATAAACAAGGAACTTCCTGAGAACCAGAAAGAAAAAAGGAGCTTCTAAAGACACCTACCTGAACCATAAGAAGCATTTCACACAAAGTCCCACTTCCTTTGCGCAAGACTTCATCTGGCGGCATGGGTATTATGGTTGCAAGGGAGAAAATGAAGGGATGAACGTAAGTCATGTACAAGTAGTATGTTGAAACAGCATCTGAAACAGAATATGAAGCCATCATCTGCAAAATCATTTAAACACACAAAAGTTAGGTTATCCAGAATTCCAGGCTGGTTTTCCTCCAGTGAATAAATGAAAAGACGATGAATGCATTTTCTCCTTTACCAAAGTAGCACTCATAAACAAGTTAAAACCAAAATAAGATTAGTACTCTACTCACCATGAATAACAATTCAGATAATCACGGTTGTTTGAGGGGAAAATATAATACTCCCTTTGTTCCAATTTATGTGTCGCAGCTCGGATTCTGAGAGTCAAGCATCTTGATTTTGATCATGAACTCGGACATAGAATCTTTAAATTTTTTGAAACAAAATTTCCATTTTTTAAAAACTATGTAAAAATAATTTTATACGTCACAACAATTAACAATTTGAAAATATTTAAAAGCCATATGAAAAAATTGTGGTCAAAGAAAAATTTCTTCAGCAAATCACAGTTGTTTGAGGGGAAAACATAGTACTCACTCTGTCCCAATTTTATATGTCACGGTTCGGATTTTGATCGTGAATTCGGACATAGAATATACAAGTATTTTGTAATAAATTGTACGTCTTATAAAACTAGGTAAAATACGATAAGTCACAACAATTAACAATTTAAATATTTAATAGGCATATGAGAAAAATCATGGTCAGAAGAAAAACTCATTTGACACTCGAAATCCGAACACCACCATAGAAACTGGGACAGAGGGGATATTAGAGAGAATGGAAATCAGGGTCACGCAAACACAGCTGTTAAAAGAGCTCTGCTCTTGGCTGCTTGGCCATAATTCCATGGATGAATACTCCAAAAGAAATTGGTAAAATCAAACAAGAATCCTCATACTAGGAGGCAGAAATTTTTTCACATAGTATCTTATTCTTCAATTTTTTCTATTGCTTGTTGCTTCTTTACTTTGTTCATCCTGTTATTTCGTCCAACTTCTGTTGAGCCAAAGATCTACCGAAAACAATCCATCTTACTCTCCCCAGACCACTTGTGGGATTACACTGAGTATGTTGTTGTAATCTTCATACTAGGAATCTACCAAGGTAATTCTTTCCATTTTCTGGTTATGAATCTTAACTGTTATAGTAGATTCATAGATGGGAGGCTGCAACATCTCCTAAACAGTGGGGAGGACTTGGGTTACAGACTTGAAGACTTTTAACGAAGCACTTACGGGTAAATGGTTGTGGAGGAGAAGCTTTATGGAGAGGGGTGACAGGGAAAATATAGGGAGTAATGGAAGGGGATGGAGAACAAATGTGATCATTATACCTTTCGGGAGTGGTGTGTGGAGGAATATAACAAAGGGATGGAACGCTTTCGATGATAACATTACTTTTAGGGTTGGGGATGGGAGAGGAGTTAGTTTGGGGGGCAAAGGTAGTGTGGAGGCTTGGTGCTTAAGGATGAATTTCCAGTATTGTATAGGGTCTCCTGCCAAACGGAATTATATTCATCAAGTAAAGGGGACTCAAGGGGATGGAACTTTTTGGGATTTGAGGTGCAGGAGGAATTTCCATGATCGGGAGGTGACTGAGCTTCAAAGAATACTAGATTTACACCAAAAGCAATGTAAGTCAGTCAACAGACCCGATGCTTGAGTTGGGTGTCGGGGAATAACACTGTTCTTTTGTCAGGTTTTCAATGAGAAGCTTTTGGTGAGGTGGAGGATAGTTTTCTATATGGTGCAGTATGGATACCAAAGGTGCTGACTGTCGAGGAAGGTGTGCTTCATGTGGTTTGCTACTAGAGGGGTGATTTTGATGACAAAGAACCTTAGGAAGTGAAAGGTTGTCTACGTGAGTTAGTGTTTCATATGTAAGGAGGCTAGTGAGTACACGGATCATATTTTGCAACATTGCAGATTAGCCACGAGATTGTGGGAGCCATATATTTACATGGTTTGGCGTCACTTGGATAATGCCAAGACTCATGAAGGAGTTGATGTTCAGCTGGAAAAGTGGAGCTAGGAGAAGAAGGCACAAGGCGTGGAATGTTACTCATCTTACTCTAATGTGGTCATTTGGAAAGAGAGAAATAGGAGAGCTTTTGAAGAGGTGGATAAGAGCTTTGTTCAACTTCAACTGAGAAGTAGTCTCGATCCCTCTTATTATATTTTGGTGTACCCATGTAGTTCCTGATTTTATAGAGGATTGAGTGTCTTTTGGAGAGACCCATATTTTGTAGGTTTCTCCTTTTTTGGTATATCTCTTGTTTTTTATAAGTTAAACGATATTATTAACAATGGGAATGAAAGCTCCCATATACAAGAGGTAAACCAAGTTGGCCTTGTTTTTATCAATGAAAATCTTACTTGATCCAAAAAAAATGGGGTACTAAAAGAGTGATGAGAAAGCTAATAAGATTCCAAAATGCTTTTGAGTAGATAAATGGATCACAACCCTCAAATCAGAGAAGGGAACTTAGCTACCACATGCAGTAAGAAAAATTAATCCTCAAATTCTAGCATGTAATATGCAAAAGGAGGCAGAAATTACAAAGTAACGATGGCTCAGAAGAAAAACATCCCTTTTAATGGAAAGGATAGTCTTTCGACTAGAAAAAATTTCAAAGAGACATGTGCTCATGCAGCAGGGGAAGAAAATGACTTGCCAGCTAAGGCTACACAAATCTTGGATCCCCTCAAGATACTCGTAGTCATATGACATTAAATGATGATTGTGAAATCCTTAGATAATGGAAAGCTATAAACACAAATTTTTCATCATAAAATTGTAAAGCATGAGTTTGGGTCTGTGCAATCTGCAATGTGGCTTTCCTCTGGGTCAAAAGAACAAGTTATCAATCATGTCTAACACTTCTATAGATAATATCATCTTTGAAATTCATGGTGAACTTACTAAGATATACCAGTTTGAAATAACTCATACCTGTGGTTTTTCCTTTGCAAAGCGAACCATATCCTCAGGATTAACTTCTAGAGGATCATAACCCAACTTGGCCTTCGTTACAGCCTGAGTTGGAGAGGAATAAGGCAATAGTTAATCAGATGCCATAGTGAAGAGTCTGACAGAAAGTTCAGTCTAAATAGGTCGAAATTATTAATAAGCCAAGAAACTGAGAAGAGATATAACTTCTTCATTTACCACAAATGAAAAATCTCTTGAGCCAACGTATCTGGTCATAATTCTAAACATAAGGGGAACTCATTCACTTCTCATTTTTTTACTACTTTAAGAGAGCCATATTTCTTTCTTTACATTCTTAGGTTGATTATGTGAGCTCTTTGGAACACTTTATTTTCAAATTTTTTTTTTTTTAAAAAAAAAAAGTACAACAGGTACACCTATGAAATTTTGTAGAATCTCAAGGGAGTGGGAAGCTTTTCTATGAGGAAAAATAACTCTACAATTATCCACCCAAAATCATTATGATCTGAAAATTTGATTTTGAGCCATACACAGCACATGGGAGCTCCAAGATGCAAAAAACAAAAATGTAATCTGATTGTAAAGGAACTACCACCATCCAGTTTGATAAATATCTTTTACAAGCATACAAGTTTCAATCCAGGCTAAGCTGCTACAGGGTACGGAAAGAAGAGAAGACACTTTCAACAGATATGAGCTCTTAGGCAAAAGACGTGTGGAGTCCACAGAAAACATAAAATATTAATATCACGTAATCAACTGGAACAATTAACAAAAGTAGAGAACTAATGTGAATTTCACACTGTGAAGACAAGAAAGATCATACTGGAATACATGAAGGCTTCAGCAAAAGGTTAAAATCAGGTAAAACAAGAATAAAGAGCATAAGCAATAAGAAAAGAAAAAGAGGTTACGAGTTACACCTTCAGACCTTGGCTTCCTTGAGGAAGATAACTATCACGTTTAACCCAAGCAAAACAGTCCAGATGGCAAGCAAATTTAGCACGACATTCCCCTTGATTCTTGTCACAGGAAAACCCAAGCTCCTGCAGTGAAAAATAAAGAACAATAAGAGGCCATTGAGTGTATTAGCAAAAATAATGCATGCTAGTAGACAGTAGTCCCTTGTTTGGTGCACTTTTTTATGTTATGTATAACTAATGCTTGCATTAGTTATATAATCTATTGTGTATTGCAGAGTGTATTACTAATACCATGAATTTCTAGGTATTAGTAAAGCAAAAGGATTTAATACATGCATTAGCATGGTTAAAGGCCCAATTACCCCTCAAAAGCACTTTTACATCTTTTCCTCCATAATTGTGAAGGATATTTTTGTAAATAAATACTTTTATACAATGCATACTATTTTCAATACACCAAACCAAACAATGCATAAGAAATAATTTATGCATAACTAATGCAAGCATAACTACTACAAGCATTACTAAATACTAATACACTCTATTGAGCATTATTTTAATACTCTACCAAACCACCCCTAAGTGTGTAACATGGGTTTCAGGCAGAAATGAGAAACTACAAAAACATAAAACAAAGAAAAAGAAGATGATACTAATTTCGAAAATGATGATTTTACAAATTATTATTGAGATTACAACTCAACAGAAACAGACAACCTTTGTGAAACTATATGTTTGTAGGAATTACAGCAATCCTGCAAGAATTTCAGTGAAAAATCGAAAAACAAAATATTTTGGGTATGGGTATGCTGAGCCAAAAGGACCTTATCAAACACCTTAGCAAGAGAAACAACTTGTATATTTCTGTCCTAAGACCAGAGAAATTACACAATTATGAAGTTGGAAATGGACTGAGAGCAGAGCTAGATAATGAATTGGGTGCATCAGGAAAAATTTCTTAGACTTTATCAACAGTCGTATTATTTGGGAATTGTCAGGAAAAAAAAAAAATGGCAAAGTAGCATTGCTCTGGAAAACCATCCACGAGATGCTGAATCATAAACTACTTGAGATTACAAACACAAACACTCTTAACAGTAAGGAGAAACATACATCCTTCAGGCTCAAGCCATAATGAGTAGCTCTTGTCTCAACAAATGGCCAATCAAAGAAGTCACCGTTATATGTTACATAGATACCAGGCTTCGCCACTTGCATGTGCGCGAACCAGTGCCTAAGGAGCCCTTCCTGCAACAAAATAATGTTGTAGAAGAGTGAATGTCTCAATGATGAAGAAATAGAGTGTACAAAATTTCAGAAAAAACAATACCTCATTTTTCACATTTGACACTTTAAAATGCCCTTCATATTCTGGTTTTGGGGTATACTCTATATCCTCAATATCTTCCCCAACACACTGGAAATTCAGAAAAAATTGGTTATAATTGCATAGAAAAATAATTAATTTACTTTCCCAAAAACAAATTAAATGGATCCTTGTTTGTAGATGTATTGCTAAAGAATTCACTTCAAGGAGGAGTCTCACTAACAACAACCAGCTACATAATCTATACGAAGACCCTAAATGGGCAAACCCATTGAAGAAGACCTGAAGAAATCATGTAGATCATGAAGCCTAACATTAATTTACCACATTTTTATAACAGATAGGAGAAGGAATTCAACAAAACCTAGTTCAGATTAGAAAGTAAGTGTAAGAAACACAAATGCTACAGAATAAGCACCTCTCTGTTAATAATGAGATAGCCTTGGCCATCAACCATGTATGAGATCATCATTATGGAATCATATTCGGCATCAGGAAATTTAAGAGGAAGCTTTGTGGTTTCAATATCAAAGGCGCAAACATGAACTTCAGCTCGCTGCAAGAGATCAGTCCTCTTCTCCAACATAACATCGGAGCTAGATACACTCACATCATACCACTGACCACATCTAACATCTAATAAATGTAAATTTCAACGTTAAGATCAAAGCACATAAACAGTTAATTCAAAATTTTAGAGACTTCAGAAATCTTAGCATTGAAAAGTACATTACCAGTGTCAATGGCAAAGCGAACATGGTAGGGGACATCATATTCACGTAGATCAGTGATATAATCTATAAAATCTTGACTTCGCTGCTTGCTGCATGTCAGGAAACAATCACTTCAAGATGGACGTACCCCATAACGAAACTTAAATGAAAGGATTGGTATAAATTGATAAGGAAATTAAACAATGTCAAAATAACTGATGATCATCTAAAGATATGTGAACTTCAATAAATACTTAATGGATGGTCTATGGTTATTGATATTATTTCAAAATATCAGAGACTACCTTTTCCCCGTCAGTATAGATTCATATGCTTCTATAGTATCAAACTTCGTTTGATTTCTCTCAACAATGTGTGTTAGATCACGCTTCACGTCCATCAACTGTTGGACAGTGTCAAATGATATCTTTAAGTATGATCTGTGTAGGCCAGACAGATGGTTTTTCTGAAAAAGAAGAAATAAATATCAGAAAGAGATCTTGATGGCATAAAAATAGACAGTGTAGGTATGAAGCAGCAGTGAGCCAACATGATAAAATCATATTTGCAACTAATTGGTATCACCTAAATAGATCTCGTCTTTCATTGTGCCCTATCTTTCGCTAAGTGTGCATAGGTTCTAAGCGATTGTAGGTCTTTCGGTGTGATTCCATTCCATTTGATTTTAGCTCTACCGCCCTTGTAACACCTTTCTCACCCCTATGGACTGATGGACTGATGCATATGGGGCTTGACACATGACATAAACAAATCATCTCAAGTGACATTCTCTCATTTTATCATCAAATGTCTTCATTTTTAATACTGTCTAATCTTGTATGGTCGCACGTCTATCTTTCATATGCATTTCCTTCTACCATCCCATTTTAATTCTATTTCACATCTTCATACATTCCATTCTCTTGGGAAAATGAGCCTAGGTATCTAAATTCACCTTAAATTCACTCTTCTATGTTGAATAAACTTGCAGTGCATACATTTAGTCTTCTACTTAACCTACAACATAATTGGTTCCATTAGTTCTTTTTGCAAAGTTATCTCTTTAATAATAGTTACAAAGATAACTTGCAAACATTAAGATAGAAGTTGTTTTTATGCACATTTCACCGTAGACAACATAAATGGTTTCATTAAATTCTGTTAAATTAGGTCTTAGGCATAATTCACACCCAAAAAGCTAGCTCAAAGGAAGGAGGATTGCCCAAGCCTTATAAGGAGTCCACCCATCTCATTAATCACTAATGTGGGACTTTTGTCATTCTTCAACACCCCACCTCAAGCCCAGTGCTTAGCATCTAGTGCATGGGCAATTTTTTATTGGGCAACCCATCATTGGGTGAGACGGGTCCTGCTCTGATACCATGTTAAATTAGGTCTTAGGCCTAACTCACACCCCAAAAGCTAGCTCAAAGGAAGAAGGATTGTCTAAGCCTTCTTATAAGGAGTACACTCATTTCATTAATCACCAATGTGGGACTTTTGTCATTGCTCAACAAATTCCTTTGGTAAAGATATTTCCTTATACAAAGTAAATGAAAAAAGGAGCAAACGAAATGGCGGGAAGATTTTCTACCACCTCGGTGTTACTTACAACTTATGAATAGATACCAAAATACCTGATGAAACTTCAAAAAGAGGTCTAATATAGCCGAGTTAACAAGATTATATCAGTGACATTGATGTCTAATAGTTTGAGCAAGTTTCAAACGCATGAAAGGTGAATAAACAAAAAAAACATGTTTTTCACAATGTTTCTTCTTCCCAAGACCCACAGACATTTTTAAATCCAATTCTCTTTCACACTCTGCCACCTCATGATTAGACATATGACCTACTTTCTCTTGTGCATACCATTCAAACAATGACGACCCACAGATAAATATTTTAGTAATAACATGAAATGGGAAGTGATGTGATGCAGAATCAGGCCACGTGCTTGCTGAATTTCTAGGCACACTTTACACATCCAATAGCTCTTTTTATGGGGTTTCATAGTAGGATCCCACTCATACACACTCTAAACTTCCATTAACACGGAACTTTTATGAAAGCAGTCATGAAACAAACAAATCCTAAATTTGATGTTAACAGACTTACAAGATCAAGATCCTCTTTCTCTAAAACTTCAATATCTGCAATTTGAGATTCATATCGCCTTCTCAGATATGAGTCGACATCCATTTCCATTTTATCCTGTTGAACAAATGCGCAACAATCAGCAAATATATGAAATTTGGAAGAAGAAAAACTTTCTTTGCTTGGAGTACAAAAGGAATTTAATGGACTGACCTTTGTTGCCACGTAAAAATATGGCCTGAATTTGTACTTTGCTTTGAATGTTGAACCATCCTTCAATCAGAAAGTTCACGCATAAAAACTCACCGAAATTAAAATTTTAATGTTTTCTCTTATTGAATCAATAAACAACACTTCCACTAAGAATGTCCAACCAATAACTCACATAAATTAACAAATTCAATATTTTCTCTTACCGGATCAATAACTAACACTTTCACTAAGAATATCCAACCAATAACTCACCTCAATTAACATGTCCATATTTTCTCTTATCGAATCAATAAACAACACTTCCACTCAGAATATCCAATCAATAACTCACCTAATTGTCATTTCAATATTTTCTCTTATCGGATCAATAAACATGTCATTTCCATTAAATATATCCCATCAATAACTCACGGAAACTAACATGCTGTATCCTTTCAAATGAATAAACAAACAAACAAAATGACAGCAATATTCCATCAGTATGAACTTTTACCTGACAAACAAAATAAAGATCAACACAACTGTACACTTTGCGAGTCTCCTGATCCTCCCACGACGACTACAACATTAAACCAAAACAAAAAAAAAATACTCAAAATTCACATTTTCACTAAAATTCAAAAAAAAATGAGGTAAAATTTGAGGTGTAACAATAGTAGTACAGAGGCAAGAGTTAGAAGCCAGCCGAGTCGTTTATCTCCTTCAGTGAAAGCATCGAATCCTAGCTTGGATTCGAGCTGTTCTTCGGAGTTAAGTATGAGTTTCTGCTTCTTTGAAAACCTAGAGTCTCGCCGGTCCCAGCGCCGGCTATTTTCAGCGGCGTTCATACTTTTTTCCGATGGTAACTCCGGCGAATGAGATCGGAAGTTTCGAGATAAAGTTTAGATTTTTTTATTTCACAGTCTACTAGGGCCTGAAAGAGGGAAAATCTTTCCTCTTTACAGAGGGAGCTAAGGGGGTACGGGGGTTTAGAGGGGTGGAGGTACTCTCTTTCCCGCGCTTTTTTTTTCCATTATTTTCTTTATTACTACTCCTATTTAAAATATTTAAAATGTGAAATGACAATGTTGCCACTATTTATTATATCTTCCCGCTGCGGAAATGAGTATGTTCCGGTGGATGTGAGGGTATATTAAGATAGATGGGATGAGAAATAAAGATATTCGAGATAAGGTATAGGAATGGCCTCGATAGAGGAAAAATGTAAAAAGAGAAGTTGAGAAGGTTTTGGACAAGTGAAGATCAAGAGATGCATGGAGCCCTAGTGTGGAGATGTGAGAGGTTGACTATGATGGTTTTAAGAAATGTAGGAATAAGCTGAAGAAGTATTAGATGGAGGTTATTAGACAAGATATGACGTAGTTGCAGCTTAACGATCTTGGATGGGAGATTGTGAAAAATACAGCTTAGGGTAAAAGGTTAGTAGGCAACTGAGTATTGTTTTGCTTATCCTTCCATGTTGATAGTCGAAACATTTCTCGTATAGTTTGTTTGTCTTTCAATTTCTACTACTATCTATTGTCTCTTGTACTTCAAGTTGTACATTATTTCAGTGTAGTTACTGTTGAGTTAATTATTCTAACTTTATTAACTAAGCGTAATGCAAAGATACAAATGCAAAATACATTTCAAAGGAGAAGATATATCCGTTCAAAAAAAAAAGGAGTTTTTGTAAAAGTGATGCAATGACAATCCGTTTCTCAAAAATTAACTTTCCTATTTGCAACTCCTTCTCTTGCAATCATATATAAAAAGTGAATTTAGTGAACCTAAGACATACTATGTACAGCATAAAATAAAAATAAAATAAAAAATCCTCCTTTTTAAATTCTTAGCTTATTCTTAGAATATTTTTTGGGCAATCTCCAAACTTTCAGCTACGAGTACACGTGTTTGAGAGTAACTGTAGAACCTTAGAGAGCGGCCGGCTAAAACGGTTTGCACTAGAGTCGGGCCGAAATCGCTTTCAAGGCAGTGGCTTACCACGACACAGTATTTGTAATAAATTATTTACTACTTTGTAATTTCAATCCAATAACAATATTGTAGTAATTTTTCCAATAGCTACTACTCTTGTTTTTTTTTCATAATTCCATATCATGCATTCTACCGTGTTTTGTCATGATATTGTCACTTCCCTTATAATCTTGTACATTTATTTTGATATATTTTTCCTTCAGTCACAGGTCAATCTGAAATAGTTTCTCTACCTCTCAAAATAAGAACAACGTTTGTATATATTTTATCCTTTCACATTCGACTTGTGAAATTACACTATGATGATATTTTTATTTAATACACAAACTTATATATTTGTTGATTATTATTCTTTTGAGTAGTCAAAAACGTTATAATCTTTAAAAGAAAAAAAAAATTATACAAATGTCTTAAATGTTATTGCCTGTTTCTTGTGTTTTTTATTGGTTTTTATTTTCTTTTACTTATTTATGTGTCGATTTTGTTAGACCTAAATTTGAAGGATATAATAAATATTTAAAATAATTTTAAACTAAACTTGTATATAATTTGAAAATTATTTTTTGAACTTTTAATTTTAAACAATCATGTCATTTTTATAAGTGAGTGTCATTATATGTAAAATGATAAATTTAAATTAAAAATTTGCGAGATTTAAAGAAATAGTGAATGTATTTTTAAAGAATGACACGTGAACGAAAACAAAGTCATTTTCTTGTAACAAAACTACAAAGATTATTTTCATACCAAACAAAATCCTATTAGAAGGGCAGGAAATGACTTTGTTGAGTTGTGATTTTTCTCTAATAATAATCTATTTAAATAGTTCGAATAAGAGACGTAATATCTCCTTGAACTTATTTGGTTTTTGTCGGGCTTCGAGCTTACAAGTTGAACGTGACCGGCATTCGAGAACCATTGGTGGTCCTAAGCGAACCCTTGGCCTGGCAGAAGACTTACCCAAGCAATGATAGGGGCTCAAAACAGAATTAAATCGGTTAAACTTAAATATCCATCTCATAAAATCTGAAAATTACTCGATAACAATACTTATAGTTTGTAGAACAACTCAAATAGAGTAAATACTGAGAGACAATCGACTGTGTCTATCTCTGAAGCCTCTACTATTATAAAGAAGAACATCGGGACAAGACCCGTGAAATCTCAAAATCACTAACTAGAAAGTAATTGTGAAGTCGTCCGGAATGGGCTCACCAAAAAATAACTAGAGTATAAAGTGATCTCAACGAAGCGTCTGTTGATGATCTTGAACACCTGTATTTGCATCATAAAATAGATGCAAGTCGAATGACATCACTACATTAAATGTACGAGCATGTAATATAGTTGAAGCGAAATAACTGAATTAAAGGACTGCAGTAGATAAAATATACTCAAGCTGGATGTAAAGAACTAAAGGAGTTAAATCATTTAAATCTTTACAAAATACTTACTTATCTCTAAACTCAACATAATAAATGATATATTAAAATACACTTTAACTCTATTGGGAGATTCTCTAGCCCACAATCATCACTATGAGCTGCGTGATGATATAACGTCTCACCCATAATGGCATAACTGTCATATACTGTGTCGGGGTATAGAACCTCTCAACTAAGTGGATCCACTAAGCAATAATGATTCATCGAAAAAGTATGATTATTTACCCATGTTGGCAGACATGGTTTATGAGGATTTTGAGTTGTCTCAACTCATCCTCATATCGGTGCTCAATACTACTCCTAATAATATATATATTCATGCTCAAATGTATAAAACATATTCTTTCTCTATTGAGGTAATTACTCAAAATATCCTCTTAAACGAGGAAACTGCTTTGAAATATCTCTAGACTCATAACTCATCTAGAAATCAAGGTTTCTCTTTTCTCAATGCAAAAATGATACATTTGGGAATACTTAGTTCTCTTATACTCTTTCTCAAATCATGTATATGACTCTTCTTTACTTTTCTCATAAATCAATTTAAGACAATGATTGATTAAAAGGATTTCTCAATAATAAGGTTCATGCTGGAATATAGACATGAATAATCAATTCAAGAATCTCAATAAATGATATATAACAACTCAACAATTAGGAATAGAATTTTGGAATTCAACGATACTACTCATCTCAAGAATAAAAATCCTAGATTACTCTTTCTCTAAATTTTGACATATGTAGGGAGTAATGACGAACTAGTCCGACACTATGATAACTTTACATACATGGGAAGAATAATATTCTTTGCGAAATTGATGGAAACTTGAAAAATGCTCTAAATCTTAACCTTTTCTCTTCTTGGAACCTTGCTATAATGATTTGAAGTGTTAAAAAACGTAAAAAAGATGTTTAACACAACTAAGACCCTTAACTAGGTGTAAAAATGATTGGAACTTAGGCTTACGAGGGATGGAAAAATTCTGAAATACCCTTAATTAACAAAAAACATAACCTCAGGCGCGTCTGACGAAGGTCCTGACGGCCCGTCGCGAGTGTGACGGTTCGTCACAGTCAGGCTGTCATCAAGATCTGAAACATATGCTCAATTCCTATTGGCGCGATGCTACTGTTGACTGTCCGTTAAGAGGTTTGTTGCCTGTCACCTGTAATCGTCAAAGTCACATAAAACACCTGAAATTTTTGCATGTGTGACAAGCCAACTACTGCTCATCAAGAGGTTGACTACCAGGGTTGCCGTCATCTTTTTCTAATATGACAGTCTCTAGTAAAACGGCCATAACTTTTTACCTTGAACTTGAAATGAGGTAAATTCGGCGGTGTTGGAAAGGAGACTCAAAGTCCTTCAATTTGGTAGGTCACGGGACACCTAATTCATTATGATTTAAGATATATGATCGTTTGAAATTGACGTAAGTAGAATCTGATGTTCAAACTTAATCAGTAATAAAGCTTTCTACTCAACTTTGTGCTGGGGTTTTTTTTGTGACCTTAATATATGTTAAGTGCTTATCATACGTCAAACAAGACAAATTGAAAGAAATTATTTTATTTAGGTTAAAGCTTTAACTGACTTAATCCACGCAAGTTATGATGTATTCAAAAGACTTAACTCTGTTCAATTAAACACTCAACATAGTCAAATAATGTATTTGTCTGGTTTAATACATGATCTAAGTCAAAATCAAACCAATATGATCAGAACTCAAAATAAAATTCATTTTTGAATTACCAATAACCCACAAGTTCAATATGGTTAGCTTCCCATTTTGAGTCCATTTAAATGTCCAAATCCACAAAATTGCAAGGAAAAATCACCATATAAACTCAAAATTAAGTAGGATTCATTTTCTTTTCAAAATGTAAATGAAATCATTGCTCAAATCTCTTAAAGTTAAGTTTCCAATTCTAAAATGGTGATAAATAAAACAAAGCAAGCTATGCATCCTATGTTGATTTTTGGCATGTGTCATAGATCGTGCAACACACGTTCCTCACATGCTCAACATGTCGTGCGATGGTCGTACATCAAGCACTCGATCACACACCTGATCTCATGCATAATCACAGGGTGCATGCATCAGAGCATATTCTACATTTTTTTTACAAAACAATAAGATTTGTATTTCGTAGTTTCATAATCTCACTCAAGCCCCTTGAGTACAATAACAAGCATGTCAATACGATTAATATAATTCGATTGATTTGTATTTCGTTCAAAACATAAATAAAATACGAACACTCAAAATGAGAAGTTTTGTTTTGTTACAATTCCATTTCTTTTTAATTTTCTTACTTTGCTACTCTAACTCTTTTTTTCTTCTACCTTTTCTCTTTTGCTTTTTCATTATTTATTCATTCTATAGTTAAATAAGTAAAATTCTTTTTGAGAGGTATCAAAAAGATATTTTGTGATGGAAAGAAGGGAATACCAATGACGCGTGTGC